ATAAATGTTACCATGAACTAAAATTTATTTAATTGCTAGTAAATCGTGCTGTACCACTTGCATAAATAATGTTATCACAGAAGCCGCCTTCGCTGGTTAGGGCACATTCTCCCTCGTCCATCACAAGAGTCAACGCATATTTCGTTATTAGCTAAACCGTGTGATGGTTGGCGAGATGTGCCAATCAAGACCTGGACTGATACGGTGAGAAAAGATTTTGAACGTAGAGATGGACCAGCAATATATGGACTTAGACGATGGAAAAAGGAATGGCTTCCATTACTGTCGAAGATGGCATCAGACCGCTCCGCTTGGAAGCGTCTTACCCTTGTAGCCGTTAGAGCCAGCCTAACCAGTAATGGTGAGAGCTGTTAGAAGAAGAAGAAATCGTGTTCTGTACTTTCCAAATGATTTAAACCACAGGATATTTGTACTGCTCGAAAATTATTATTAGTGAATTCTACCTCATTTCATTTTTTTTTTTTAATATCACAAAATCATTTTTTAAACGTGAAAAACAATTTATATATTAATTTATATATATATATTTGCTTTATCAGGAGGAAAGAATTATAAATTTAGGACGTTTAGAAAACTAATAGTAAACTAGAGCGAACCAAATCAGAAATGGTAGGCGCTATTAAGGAAAGTAAAATATTGCAAGCTAATTAAATTATTTTTGAACATTTTTTTTTTAAAAATAGTTTTTACCATTACTGATAAAACTCGCTCCGCTGGCTTATCGTACTGGGCAAATATGCCAGTGAGTCCTTTGGCTCAGCACCACTCGGATTTTTGGGCAGGTTCACTCCTGTGGGGAAAGAATCTAAGATTAGTATCGGCGCTCCAAATTGAACGACAACCCACTAAGCCATCCTAACCCCATTTTCAAACATTTATGGAAAAGAAATTTTTATGTTTTGTTTATAAATGTTGTTTTTTCCCTAACATATCTCTCGCTAGATAATAATTTTCGATTATCGTCGATCCACGAATTTTATTTGATGTTCACTGAATTTCTAAATACATTATTAAGATTGGCAAGTCTTATGGATGATTTGGTTCTAATTCGAATTCGATCCGCTAAAGATTTTATTATTTTTATCATTTTAAATATTTATAAAAGCTGCTTTATTTCTATTCCTCACTACTGTCAATTTTTCCTAGCAATTTTTAGAAAGGAAATTCTAATAAATGAAATAAAAAATTCTTTGTTTTACAAAAAAAAGATGAAAAAGTGAAAAGATAGATCTTTGTTTTTTTATTTTTTAATTAAAGAATTATTCGGAAAAAGTCATATTAAAATAATCAAAAATGAACTTTAGTTTTCTTTTTCATTTATCAAAAATTTATTGAATTTTTGAGAAAATGAAAAACTTAATTAAAAAATTATCGTTTAAAATAAAATAAATAGATTGTTGTTTAAATAATCAGTGGCCTTATTACTGTCTATTATTGTCGACGATGGCATCAGACTGCGCCGCTTGGAAATGTCTTACCTTCGTAGCCATTCGAGCCAGCCTAGCCAATAATGGTGAGAGCTGTTAGAAGAAGAAAAGAATCAATGGCCTTACTTATCACTAACGACCCTAGTTTATTTACTTTCGTTTATTGTAAGTAATCAACAAAGTAATAAATATTGTGAACCAGATTTTGTCATATTTTGTAATCAATATATATGATAATATGTATTGTATTCATTAAAGTAGGCACTAGAGAATCATCAAATAAATTCAACCATTATTATATAACTAAATAATCGTGCCATTTACCGAAATTTTCTAATATGTTAGCAATTTTAAATCATTCATTCCTTTCCGTTTTATATCACCCTGAGCAACCATTTCATACCATTTAAGAATATATATTTATTAGAAATCTAATGGATTTCGTTTTATTCTAATAGAAAATTTCTGGTTTCGTTAGCTGCATTGATCACTAGGATAGAAGAATTTTCGCTAAAAGCATAAATTCCTAGTATTCATTTAATACTAAGAAATAAAAATTGCATCTACGCTGTTTGTTGTATTCATTATCAAAGAGGTGTACTAGTCAAACATTTTGTTACTTATAGGATTAGTATTTTTTAGTAAATACAAATTTCTTTTTTTTAATTGGCAATTGACTGCAGCTGATATTAATTGGCAATTGACTGCAGCTGATATTATTTAAACTTTTATTATTTAATTGTTCTAAAGCTTAAAAATTTTTAATATATTGAAAATATTTTATTAAATCAAATTTTAATAAATTAAATAATGAATACGATATTAGAAATATTAATATAATATAATAATAAATATAATAAAAAATGTGGAAAAATTAGAAAATTAGAAATAGAAAAATAAATAAAATATTAAAATATTATTCCAATATATATTAAAATTAAATATTAAAATAAGTATATTAAATAAAATCGACGGAAATATTTTATTATTTGATTAGAAATATAAACTCAAAAAAGAAAATTTTTCTCGATAATTTTTCAAGTATTTAGCGTTGAATTTTTAAAATGAATTTATAAAATTGAAAATATTATTTACAAAAAATTATTTCCTCGAAAATGGCAATCGAAGAAATTGTGCAAACAATAATTTTTTATTTTTTAACGAAATATTATTGCTAAAAATTGATTTATTAAAAGTTAATTTTGATTTTTTATGAATTTTGATTCTTTATGAGTTAATTAGGTAAGTTATGAGTTAATTAGATAAGTTAATTAAGTAAATAAAATATGAATAGAATGAATGTAATTAGTAATAATGATGACTGCCGATGTTATTTATATTATTCTTTCGTTCCTACTTCTTAGGGATCATATGATAAATAAAAAATTTCATGGAGTGTATTGCTTTCATTCATTTCAAGCACCATTGCTTGCTTCTTGAAGCTTAAATCCGAATATTATTTAAGCCTATCAGTTCAAATATTGTGATTCGTTTCTTAAGTCTTAAATTCGAATGTTACTTAAGTTTATCAGTTCAAATGTCACTATTCGTTTCATAAAATTCAAATACTGCTTAAGTTTATGGGTTTAAATATCGTGACTCGCTTCCTAAAGCTAATTAAATTGATTCTCTATAAATGAAAAGGATATTTTGAATGGTTTTAGTTCTATTTATTCTGATCTTTGGTTAGTTGAATTTTAGAAAATAGCAAATAATTAAATTTTTATATAATCGAAAACATGGGGATATTTTGATTACTGATGGTCACCGAATTGAGGCCAAAAATAATAATGTCGTTTTTTCACTGCTTTCTTTTAAAATAATAAGTAAACGGTAAATAAATTAAAATTAACGCAGATTCAAGTTGTACTCACTGCTTTATTTTTTTTTAAAATAAATTGCTAAATAAATATTCAAAAATTTTATATAATTAAATACACATGAAATGAAAACTCATAATAGATTGGATTAGAAAATTTGTAACAAATTAGAAATAATTCCCGAACAAATCCCGAAAAAAAAGAGAAATTTTTATATAAAAAATATTTTATTAAAATATTTTTAAAAAAAACAAAAAATAAATATATATAGGCTGAATGAGCTTAAACTTAATTAAACTTCCCTAATTTACGCTAATAAATTAATTATTCTAATGAATTTTTTTTATAATAGCACTTACCACTTTTAATTAATTAGGTTCGTTTGGTTCATTTATCAGACCAGAAAAATTTCTCCCTAAGATTTATTTAGCGATAGAAATAGAGGTGAATCACTAGCACCACTCGGATTTTTGAAAGATAGGCTTACTGCTAGTGGAACTTTAGCGCTACAAAATGCGGTCCACCAAGCTGTCCTAATAAAATGTGGAAAAAATTCGAAATGACTCAACAAGCGATTTAATAAATGTGACAAATTTATGATTTTAACTTTTCTTTTTTGCCTGTTTTTGGTAAAATAATTAATTGAATGCATAGCGGCGAATGGATAGGGCAAATCGAAATCATTGAATTTACATTGGCAACAGCTGTTTCTACCGGAATAATTCAGTTATCTTCGCTTTGCTTTATATGAACAATGATTTTTATTATTTTAATAATTTTTAATATTTATTTTATTATATTTATTATTATTTTTATTTATTCTAATTATTATTAATTTTCTCTTTTTCACCGATAATTGATCTAAATTTAAGTAATATAATTATATTTTAATGCATTTCATTTAGAAATAATATATTATTTGTTGCACTAAATGTTTCTTTGAGATAATAGCTTTCAAAGTAATTACCTATTTTTAAAGTCGTTTCTCACGCTGTAATGAAAATTCTTCCTGTTCCTGTGTCTGGGCTATAAGCTTTTAACCTAAACACCCTAATGACTGATATTTTTATATTTTATCTCTTATTTTTTGTTCCCTCTTTATCTTTTGTCTCGCAAATGAATTTAAATAAATATTTATTGAATATATATTAAAATTTATAAATATAAATATGAAAATATACTTAAAATATTTTAAACATTAGATTAGATGTTGGAATGATTAAGACTGGCGATTAATATGGAATGTGACAATAACGGCTCGAATCGCAATCCTTCAGTTCTATTTTTCCGTTGAAGATCTTGGATGGAGTTCATTTAAAAGCATCATTTCTGCCTTAGCTAAATCTCTTATGCCTCTACTAGAAGGACCGAGTTTTGAGGATAATCTTCTCAAACGATCAAAGGAGGAAATTTTTTTTATAAATACAAATGCTAAAATGCATTAATTAAAATATACATTAAATATGTTTTATATATTATTTAAATATTATATTACACACTTATTAAATAAAAAATTACATAGTAATTAAAACTTCAATACAAGAAAAATTCCCAAGTTTTTTTCATAATAATCCTTCCATATAAACATTTCAATGAATTTTATGTAGAATTTTTTTTATAAAAACTCTATAGCGTTCCTGATAAAAGTTGATAAAAACTGGAATATGTCCTGTTCAATCAATCGATTGTGCAAAAATTTTTTATCGTAGAATTTTAAGTTTTTTTTTTCAGTTTTTCGCCATTCTTTAATATGGTTGCAGCAATAAATTCACCAACATTCGATCAAAATGATCCAAAATATCATTGTTGCTGTAATAAATTGCACTTAAAAGTATATATTATTTATTATTTTAAATTTATTGAATTTATTCTTTTTAAAAAAAAATAATTCTTTTCTTTTTTAAATTCTTTTTATTTTTGAAAAGAAGGGCGATTTTATTTTTAGCATTTATTGTTTTTGTTGAGAACTATTAAACAAATTATTTTTTATTCGCATAATTTTTTTCACATAATAAAATAAAATTATAAATATAGCTAAAATATTTTTCTTTTGAGAAAATTTTAATTAAGATTTTAGTTTAAGATTTTTTAAAATCGAATTAAATAACTGAATTAATTAATAGCAACGACAAAATAGAATTGTCGCTGTGTAAGATGAACAAAATCAAAGTAAAAAACCATCAAAAAATCTAAATTGATTTTTGCTATTAGCTAAAAATTATGGAAAATAGGTTGCTATGAGAAGGGAAATTTTTGTTACCTGAAGTGCAAAAATTGATTTTACCTATAAATAGCTGGAATGCCACTGAATTTCTGTGATAATATCGCAATAATCTAAAATTGACACAGAATGGCTCAATGGGTTATTAGTCAATTCAGAGCGCCGATGCTGAGCTTCTACTTCCCGCAGGAGCAAATTTGTCCAAAAATCCGAGTGGTGTTATTAACTCACCTGTACTTCTATCGATTCTTTGGTGCTAATTTATGGTTAGTGGTTAGTAAACACCATTTCTGGTTGTGGTTGTTTCTACTAGCTTATAATTAAATCTTTTATTAGCGAGCTACTTGAGGACAACTATACAGACTTCAGCCCTCAACATTACTCTTATCAGTGGCAAAATGCCGGTTTTAAAAATGATAAGCCAATGGCAGTTCCTCTATTCTGACTAAAAAAGTCATAATTTGTCTGAATTTTAGGAAGGTGCTCGGATTGTGACGATCCTTTGCATTTCATTGACCTTTTGTAATATTATCTATGCAACAGCTCGTGGTGCAACACTTGCCTTGTCGTCTTGGCTTTCATCTGCTTTTGCAGCTGCAATTTTTGGGTGCCTTGCATATGGCGTTTTCAAGGAGAAACGTGTTTATATTTTACCATATCTAATATTTCAAGTAAGCTTTTATTTAGTTTTTTCTCGACCTTATAGAAAAAATTAAGTGTGATTAACTAATTAATTAAATCAAAAATTAAATTAATTAATTAATTATGATTTAATTAATTAATTAATCAATTAATTAATTATGGTTTAATTAATTAATTAATTGAATTGATTAATTGAATTTAATTAATTGAATTAAAAATTAAATTAATTAATTAATTATGCTTATTATTTCTGGTTACATCTCGATCCACTGGCTATTAGTACCACTAGAAGTTTTTCAATGAATCAATTAGTAATGGAACTACAGGCATATTCGTCCAGATTTTTGATATAAAATTTAATATGTCAGAGGTAGCATCGCAATCTCAAGGTGATAACTTAAGTAACAATGACTCTATTATCCTATCTCCAAAATATTTTCTTGTATATGAAGTTGCTTTTCGTTATTAATTCATAATAAACTCTATGATCTTCGGATCCTATTGTCAATGGTACTGATTGATTAATAGATTTCCCAATTCATTATTAGAACTATGGTGAGTTTATGGTGAGCGAGTGAGTAACTTTATCTATCATGCATTATCTATGTATGTTCTTTCGTATTTAGAGCGCTTCTGTGATTTTAACAGCGCTTTTCATATTTGTATTCATGATCGGATCAACTGTATCGCCAAAAATGCTTCGTCAACTTGCTGATGATTTAGTTGGAATTGATTTCAACATGTCAAATGAAGAAATCATCTCAGGTAACTCGATCTTTTATAAATATTCTTTTTAATAATATTCAATTAATAAAGTAAAAGCCTTTTCTATTTCTTCACAATTTTTGTTCATTATCTCTGGTTAGATTCGTTTTGTCGCTTGTCGAAGCGAATAAATTATGTTAGAAAATCACTTAGCGACAGAGTGGATCGTCGACTTCAATCAGATTTTGAAAGATTCATTCTGTCGGTGTGAAATAAGAGAAACGATCTACTGAGCCATTCCAACTTCATTTTTTGCATTTTTTCATAAAATTTTCTAATTTCAGAACTGCAAACATTCATGATATTTTTCTTAATATTCTTGACAACATCACTCCTATTACAATTATGGTTTCTTGATACGGTGTATAGATTTCGTGAATTTTTGAAGGATCGCGAGAATTCATTTACTTTTAATTTAGAAGGAATTTTTCAAACAAATAGCAGCGTTTATAGCACAGCTGAAGAACTTGGATGCGTACCAGATTCTCCAAATTATAATACTTTAAAATAATTCTTATTACGAAAAATTGCAAAAAATGTTCGAAATTTGAATAAAATTTGATAATCTTATAAATTTATAATTTTACGTCAAATTCTAATCATTATTTTAAAGTTTTAAAGTTAAAGCAATAGCAACATTATCATTATCATCGATAAGGAAATTTCATATCAGTTTCTGTACAAGTTTTTGTTTTCTTTTGTTTTTCCGTGATTTTATGATAAAAAATTTATCTGAAAAGTTAATTTTTCAAAATTGACGAAAATCTAACATTTCCCTAGGAAATATAATTTTGTTTTTACGAGCACTGAATGCTGAATTTTTTGAAAAACAAATAAATATTTCGATATTATTCGCAACATTTCTAATGAATTTTATTTTTTATTTTATTTTTTTAGAATTGAAAAAATAATGGATGATTAATTAATTAAATACAAAATTAAATTAGCACTCATACTTAACAATCGAAATTGCAAAAACTATAAATTATTGTAAAGTAAAATAATGGTGGATATAAATCATAAATTTTGCTCTATTTCATTAATATATATATATATATTATAACTATTATAAATATAATAATTATATATCGGAGAATATACAGAAAATTTCTATTTCTGGCAAAAGCAACAACTCATTCTTTAACAACTTTTTGTCTTATCACAGCCAATTTTGATAAAAAATTGTTTTAAAAGGTAGAATAAACCATGAAAAATCTCAGAACTGTTCCCTTCTTTAAGAAATCATTATTCTCGATTTTGATTTTTTTCGGAATATTTTCGGTTCGAATTAATAAATTTATGAAAAATTGCTTAAAATAATCAATTTAAAAGATTTATTTAAAATAAAAAAGTTTTCATCCTTTGTTAATTTGCAAATTGAAATAGGAAAGAACGTCGGGAAGTTGGCAATAAATGTTATCCATATTTTTAAATTTTTATAATTTAGCTCAACTGAAAATTATTTTGTCGCGTGCTAAATTCTTTTAATTCTTTGAAATTCTTTTAACTTTCCAAGTTAAATAATTATAAACCTGGACAGGGATCTAATAAATGATCATTTTAATTTAATTAGTATAATTTTTCAACTGATAAAGTGATGAAATGATTCCATTATCTTTGTAATCAATCTATATTATTTTCGACAAATAAAACATAAACATATTATTAGATGTGGAAAATAGGATGAAAATATTTCATTAGATTGATCAAACTACCCATTCAAGAGCACACCTGCAGATTTATTGTTTCACCCGTTTATCAACCGACATCTTTTAGATTCATTATCATGTGATTATAACTGCTTAACACTATCCCCTAGCAATTCAGCATCTCTTTTGGTTCGAAAACAACTGTGGTTGTACAATTTTTTTTGCCAGAGTCGAACCCTTTACATTAATAAATTTTCTAAATTGTATACATATGACATTTGTCTATTTTTCTGGCTTTCTGATATGAGTAAATTTTGTTTGCAAAAATCTAATTAGTGCTGGCAATATACTTGTTTTTCTTTTATTCAAGGCAAAATTTGCTTGGAGTCGCACAGAAAGCTAACGGAGTGAACCTAATAAGAAACTATGGGAAAAGCAAGCTTTTTGAAACAAGCAAAATATTTATCATTTCAATTTCTAGTAAGCAAAACTCAAAGTTTTAAAATCATTCATCCATGAAAATATAATATAACTTTTTTGGAAAATAACCATATTTTTAAAAATTTAGCATAATGGGAATTTTTTTATTACATTTTTATCAATTCGTTTGCTTTTTTTCGTTGGGGTATGTAATTTTTTATCACTTATTATTTTTGCATTGATGAATCTCTTGAAACCACCTCGCGGCCTTCCGCCAGTCTGTAGAGAATGGATTTTGAGAATTGCCAAAATAAAAATTCGAAACATTTATTTAAATTTTCTCATTTTTTGATCTTTAATTTGAAATTTGAAGGGAAAAAATAAAATCAAAAAATGGAATAAGAATGAAAAAACGAAATCAATTTTTTACTCGCTTTCAAATCTTTGCCTAATCTTAAGAGTTTCTCATATTTTTTCCACTAATGGAAAAATTTAGTGGGTAGAAAAGAAAAATTATTTAGGAAATCATTAAAAATTTTGAAGGTTTTTTTGTTGAATTTCTTAAATCGTCGTTCTTAAGTCTCCATAGAATTTCTGGTGTTTCAGTCACATATTATTGCTTCTAACGCGGAATGGCATTCGATTCCTATCACTTGAAGAGACCAATCTGCATTTTTATGGCAAAATTAACTTGCTTGTCGCGAATCCATCTCTATTTCTAATTGGTTTTTTTCTAACGAAATTATATCATCCAACCTGACTTATCTTTAAATTTACCTGATGGCCTATCTAATCAACCCGCCCAATCTAAAAAATTATTTAGGAAATCATTAAAAATTTTGAAGGCTTTTTCGTCGAATTTCTTAAATCGTCATTCTTAAGTCTCTAATCTACTAAACCACACAATCTACTTATCTAATCAATTTTTCTATGTTAAAAATTCAGCCAAAATAGAGACGATAAGTGGTACTTAAAGAAGAAACCATCATTTTAAATTTATGTTGTATTAACCACTTTTTTTTAACATCCCAAACTTGTTATCGAAGTGGACAAATATGTCAATCTCTTGGCGATAGAATTACAGGTGAGACGCCAGCATCACTCGGATTTTTAGGCAGGTTTACTCCTATGGGGAGTAGAAACTCAGCATCGATGCTCTGAGTTGAGTAACAACCAACTGAGCCATTCGTACTCCATGACATCAACCATTATCGAAGAAAAAACTTTCGCCTAATAAATTCTCATAGAAATGTAGTTTTTTTCCTCACAATTCCTCGCATTCAAATTTAAACCATAAAAATATATTTAACCGAAATTAATTAATTTTCCCGTAATTAATTAGTAAATTTATTCAATTAATCATTTGGCCAATGACCAATTAATTTTATTTCTTGTGAAAATCTATGTTAACATAAATTGTAGCAAATGAAAAGAGTCGACAAGAGATTAAATCATATGGTTTAGTTAATGAAATCTGATTAAACATGAAATAAATTAACAATTAAACGATTCATTCTGAATGATTTCTGTAAATAATTCCAAATAAAGCCGATTTTAAAATTTCTTCTTTTGATTATTTAACTTTCTAATAAAATATTTTACAATATTTACCAATATTTATCTATATTTTAGTATTAAAATTGATGAATTTGATTATATTCTTATAGAATTAATATTTTATTGAAACGATAAGAATTTAAAAGAATTTCCCAAGCAAACAATCCGAGTACTTAAATGAATGTGGAAAATAATCGAAGCCATCTTACTTATCCTTAATATTTTATAAAATTGATAAAATTGATAATGATAAGAACTTGAATAAATGGAATTAATCGAAGCCATTTTGCTTGTCCTTAATACAACATGAATTTTTCACTGATAAAATCATAAGATAAACTTATTATTTATTTATCCTCCATCTTTTCCGTAAAAAAATGATTCGGTGAACAAAAAGAGAAAAAGTGCAATTTATTTGAAAAAAAATATATATATATGGTTGCAATAAGCTTAATATTTGTCACCATTTATGATATTTTGATTTGATTTAAATTATCACTTAAATAGTGATTAAAATAAATAAAATTAATTTAGATAAAAATCTATCATCTCCAATAATTTAGTTTATTTTCAGTAATTTTGGTTAGATTCACTTTACTGGTTTGTCGACCCATATAAATTTTGTTAGAGAATCGCTTGACAATAGAAAATAGGCAAATCACCAGTACCAACAGATTTTTCAAAGTTCCTCTTCAAAACCTAACCAAAGCGTCAGCGCTCCAAAATAAGAGCTACAGCACGCTGAACCATTTTCTTTTGTGTCTGTAAGAATTTACTTCAAGTGAATTTGGAAGAAAAAAGTTTTCAAAATATAAAATTATTAAAAATTAAAAATTGGCTGCAAATATTTCAAATTCTTTTGATAAAGAATAAATACTTCAAAATTTTATAGAATTAAAATTAAAAATTAGTACAAAATTAAAGAATTTAGCCAGCCACTTTTCAATAACAATTACTTTAGGTAATCATTAATCAGTTGCGGATAATGAATTTGAACTTTTATTAGACCTTCTGATGAAAGGCTCCCAGTTTAATAATTAATAGAATCTACTAAGCTAGAAATGTCTCTGATAACCAAAAATGATAGCAAATTATTGAAAAAAACAAGTATTTAATAAAAATTGTATAATTTTAAATTATTTATAATTTAGTTGAATTAGATTAATATTATTTGCATAGAATTATCCCAATTTATTAAATCGAAAAATTATTCAGGTTTTACTGTAAATCAATTGGCTTACGGTGAATGAATGATTATAAAATCTATTGAAGAAGACCCGAAATAATTTTAGCAAAATTAGAGAATTAAAAAATATAATTCCGATAATTTCTGAAAGCAATATTGTGATGAGTTTGCAGCTGTACTAATGCCGGAACGATTACTAAAATTGTGCATATCAAAGCGTCGTTATATAAGACTTATATCGATAATATTTTTCAATGATAATTCTATAGAAATGTCTTGGTTGGCGCTCATAATCGTCCCATTCTATATTATCTATCAGTGTAATGCACAAGATATTGGACGTATGTTGTAATTTATTATAAATCTCTTAATATATCCCTAAAAGAAATTAATCAGAACTTTGGAGTTCATTAACCTCACTTTTGTTATTATATGAGCCTCGTGCCAAAATTAAAACTATTAAGTTAAAATTGTTTTTTTTTATAAAATAGCAAGCATTTTTTAAATAACGGTATTAATACATTAATATTTATCTAATTGGTGAATTTATCTGAAGCATGCATTGGAGGACTATGCCCATCAGATTCCGTTTGCAATACAACTGATAACCGTTGCTATAGCAGTAAGTTAAATCACCTCCTTAATATTCTACTTTTTTATGGCATATAATAATTATGATAATTATAATGTCAGATAAGGCTTTCCAAAGAAAAAATAAGTGAAGTTGTCTTTAGTCATAGTATTACAAATTACCTTAAATTTTTTTTTCATACAATAATTAAAAATCATATCATATCATATTAGCAAACAGCAGTTGCGTGGACAAGGCATTACCAGGCAGAGTTTCCGATTGTCCCGCTTTGAAACAATATTGTAATGTAGACTCGTACAAGCCAGTAATGGCGAGAGAATGCCGCAAAACTTGCAATCTTTGCGGTCAACGTAAGTTTTGTTCTCAATTTGTCACTGCGAACCCATCATATTTCTCTGGATAAATCTTTTTTTATCTATCCTTTTCTAAATTAAACATGGGTAACAAAGCGTATGAAGCATTATAAGCGTAAAACATATTCATTTAATTCTAATTATGTAAAATCGAAGGTATTGGGAGGACCTACGCCCATTACTACATGTCAAGTGGTATGGTTTCTTTGGTCTTAAGCAAAGTAAATTCAGTTTTGTCTAACCAGTAATGGGTACAGTAAGGCTAATCATGCACATTTACTTACTTTAAATAATAACAGCGAAAGTACCTATTTCTATCGCACATGTTAGCGAGCAACAATAATATTAGTACCAACAAGACCAGAAATTTTGGATGCAGAAAAAAATTTTACGAAAAATTCAAAATACATTGAATTATTTCAAAATTATTGTGTGGTAAAATTTATTTAAAATTTACTATATTTAAAATTTTAAAAAATGCATATCTAATCGGTTTAGCTTAAAAAATCCCTTCATTTTATATAGAATAATTACAATAGAGGAAGGAGGTAGAGGGAAAAAAAGAGGAGGAGGAAAGGGAATAGAATGGCTTAGTAGGTTGCTCTATTACCGAATAGCAATCTTTCTTTCAAAAATCTTGTTAATGTTGGCTGAACAACTCTTATTTTTATTGCCAAAAGTTCCTTCTCCGGTAAAATAGTGGAACTATTCTAATCAGGAACAGTAAATTCTCCTGGAAAAAAACGAATATTGACATTGCCTTTCAAAAATTCTTTTAGCATCAACTTGCGTGGACTTTGCACAACCTGGTCAAGTTTCTGAATGTCCGTCCAGAAAGGCTTTGTGCCAAAAAGAACGATACAAAGAGTTTATGAAAAAAAATTGTCAAAAGTCTTGTGGATATTGTGCATAATCGTACTAATTTTTATTATATTTTTATATTATTTAAGAGCTATCATGGTTCATTCTTTCCTCTTTCTTCTTTTTCTTCATCCTAAATAGAAAATGGAAATTTCCTAATCACAAGAAGCACGAATTAATCGAAAAAATTATGGTAATCCTAAAATATTTATGAAATTTAGAGCGTTTTCTGAAGATTTCTAAAACATTAGCGTGTTAAGAAAAAATGTAGTAGAATTCAGAGGAATTTAAGGGATATGGTTAGAATATAAAATATAAATAAGGGATGGCGACTTCTCAAGAGATTCTAAGGATATATTTATAGAATGCTATTGTTAGATCTTCTTCATCCTAAGTAGGAAGTGGATAAGCAAAAATCTTTGCGCAAATCCAAAACAATATAAAACTCGTGATGGTACCATTTTTAAGAAGAAACAGAATTTAATAAGCTGAACCATTATTTATTGCAGTTTTGTAAATATTCAAATAAATAATATAAGTGTATTTAGAACGATCGAAATATGCGAAACGATTCAATTAACGATAAAAATTATTTGCTTATCGATTCATATTTTTGCTGTATTTTTTTGTATTTCTATAAAAATTGTTTATTTATGGAATTTGTTTTTTATTAAAAAATTTATTTGAAAATGAAAATTATTGTATTTGCGCGAATTCAAAACGATATAAAAACGCGTAAGGCGATTGAAATTATAAAAAAATTATGATATTATATTCTATTTTTATTTATTATGGAAATAAATAAATAATTGCAATGATTTGACCACTAATGAAGGATTTTTCAATATTTACCGATTTTCCTCTTTAAATTGTAATAATAAATGACCCAATCCTGGTTTTTTTCCTTTAAAAAAGTACTGAGTCTTTTAATAATCGCCTGAAACCAGTCGAACAAATTGAATTTTTTTTGTTGTTATACTTGGAAACAACATTTATTTCTCCTTCTATGTTCATAATTCTGCAATCAGAGATCACAAATTTTCACAATCTGTTCGCCAAGAAATTTATGAATTTATTAGCCTTTGAAAGCAATCATTTTGCCTAGAGCAATTTAAGCCTTTTTCTTAATTTTGAGATGTTTTTTCAAGGATATTTATGTTGGTAGTAAAAAACAACAGAAAAAAATAAATTGCGAACAAAAAATTATAAAGGTGAACGAAGAAAGTTTTTATTAAGACAGTTTTTCTGAACACCAATTATCTTCATTTTTTTTTTTTAAGTTCACTATTACTAAACTCTGCTGGCTTATCGAGCTAGACAAATGTGCCAGGGAGCCGCTTGACGATAGAAATCCAAGTGAGTCGCCAGTATAATTTGGATAAATTTTTGAATAGAGGAACTGGAATCTCAGCACCGCTCCGAACAACTAATCTAGGCCATTCTACTGTACATTCTACTTCCATTCTACTCTTTCATTTTTTCTATAAGCGGCAATTAACAGTTCTGATTTGGCTGGCGATATTCCTACGAAATCTTTTCACTAGAGATTTAATTGAGAATAGGCATGGACGATCATTATTGGCCAAACGAATTTCACTTTTACTGATTTCTGTCATGGAATGCAACCAAACTCAATTTGCTTACGGCTGTAGCAACATATAACCAATCACCTGCGGTGTGCTAATCCAGTGATTTGAGGTATATTCGCTTAGACTGGCGACCCTCAGATTTTCCTTTATTTTCCTTTATCACAACGAATTTTGGTGCAAATTTTTGATTCTCCTCGCACTCTTATTAAGAATTATCTCAAATCACTGGACTAACTTCTGATACATGAAAAGATAAGTGCAAATTATATATTTTTACTTTTAGACAACAAAGTCTGAACTATGTTATGTTATGTTCGTTAATCTACTAAAAAAACTTCATAAATACATTTTAATTGATTTTAACAGACAATGGTTTTTTTTTCTTTTTAAAACTGTTATATGAAAACTATAAAGAAGAGATTTTATTGTCATCCTCATTGCCGAAAAGTTGCCCCTAATAAGTTCAGTTGCAGTTCATTTTAGATACGATTATAGATATTAGCTATTCGACTTCCCCTCTTATTTCTTCTTTTCAGCAACATTTTTTGGTATATTAAAAAATTTTCTTATTTAAAGAATCACCAATAATTTATTCAATAAATTTGTTTTTTGAATAATAAATAATAAATTTAAATGATCCACTTATATCATTTCATTTTACTTTCAATTATTCCATTAGCAGACGCTAAACTGATTGTTCGAAATTTGCGACAAATAGGTCAATTTTTTTGATAATATTATCAAAATTATCAGAATTTAAAAGATTTAATTGTAGTAGAACGCATATTTGAAATAGGAATTTCTCTTAATTTGATGACTAAAGAAAAGTTAATGCAGTAGAATCGTAGAAAAATTGGCATAGCTGAAATTTTACTAAGTAGAATGAAGAAAAGTTAAACTAATAAGTTTTTAATCAAAAATAATCATTTCTAGGAAAGTAATTTATTTTTTAGAAGTGAAAAGCAATGCAATGTCTAATGGAATTGGTGATATTTCGCAAAGTAAAGTATCCGCGCAACATTTTAAGAATGCTGATGGCCTTATAGGCGTTAATGTTTCATCTGTTGGTAATGCCACTGGAGCCGGTAAAACAAATTCTTTAAGTAGCATTTATGGAGCTTCAGGCTGGACTAGTTTGTTACTTTTTTATTAAAATTTTCCTTTTACTCCAACAACAATACTGATTTACTAAGGATATATATATATAATAGATATAGATGAATCAATCTTAGTAGCGGCTCTCATTCATTTATAAATTTATATTATAAAGGGAAAAAAGATCGAATTTATCTCAGCTATTCTCAGCTGAGATGAATATCGCTTTGATCCATTAGATGCCAAAAAAAGTTTCTAAAAAAATTAACAGGTTATACAAAATCACGATGTATAAAATTATCATGATGAAGTTATTTAAAAGGTAAATCCAAAAAATTGTTATCAAAAAATTATCACTAATATTTTAATATTTATGCAGTCGAATGACAAAATCATATGGCATATATATCCAATTTAGTAAAATTTCTAAGGATTTAGGGCAGTACCATTCCTAACTACAATTAATGGTTTGCTTTTGGCTTTTAATAATATATTTTCAACACGTTATGAAGGTATAAACGGTACGGGCAATGCAGCCGCTATGGGATCCAGGGCAAACAGTATCACTGATTTGTTCGGAGAAATCCTCGGTGGAAAACAAATAGTTAATCTTTACAATCAAGCATCTGGAATCGGAGTTAACGATACGTCAGCAGTGGCAAGTGGTAATGGAGTGATTACCAATGGAACACATGGAGGCAAATATAGTATTTTATTTAATTTACTTAATAAGCACTTCTATGAAATGAATTTTTCCCAGGAGAAAAGCTAATTTATAGCGATATTTCAAAAATTACGGAAATGGTCGAGGAACCATCCTTCAACTCTACCGCAGCCCTTTATTATGCCATATTAATAATATAAACTTCGCTAAATTTGCTAGGCTTTGAAGCCTAGCAACTCTTCAAACTCTTCAATTCCTTTGAATGCTTACAAACCTTCTATTATATACCTCGAAATATAGACATAACAAAAATAATCTAGCCTGATCTCATCACATTGAATTCTCAGTAAAGCCTATTATTCTACCGTGCTTTTTCAACATCTTATTAAGTTCCGATATCTATTATATATCTTTCGCAAAATTCATTAACATCCTCCTAGACAAACCCGCAAGCTCGTCTTTAAGCACTCCGGTGAAGTTTGTTAGAATCATATTAGAATCTCTTCAAACCCCATTGCACTTCTTTAGTACCAATAAAATATTGTGTATAAAGTATTGTCTTTCGAAATCTGTTATGCGCTACTAATCTAACCTTTTTCCAATCTTACTATAAACCCTTTGGAATCTCATTTATAACTCATAGAACCCATTTTTTTCTTTGTTTTTTTTCTATTTTTCTTACTCTCCAATTAGCAAAATTTTCTTGCTTTTTTTGGGTTTTATTCCAATATTTATTCCAATATTTATTCCAATACATTCGTTGATCGGTGGAATACTTTGATGATTTCGATTGGACTTTCTTTTCAAACATTCTTTATTGGACTATAATTTCATGTCAAACTAACAATGTCGTGAAAGCTGGTGCAACTGGATCGTTAAAATCGTCATCGAATGCTTTAAATAGTCAAGTTTTATCATGGGAATCAATATTCGCTCAGCTATCTGGTATAGCTGCAGGTGCAGGCACTTCGCAAGCTCAGGCAAACACCAACTTAAAAGCTGGCAATGCCCAAAATGGTAATAATATTTCACTGATTTCCTTAGTTTGTTCATTTATCGCAATTTTTTGCGTGATCAAACATTCGGTCCGTGATAAAGCAATATATTGTCAGAGTCGAAGATTCTAAATAATTTTCTTGTGATATTTTGCAGGAATTAATATAGATGGCTTTCTTGCGGGAAAATCAAGTCCATTGGGACTCATTAAAGTTCAAGCAAAGGGAGATGGTATAATGGATAATCAAAAACATTCTCTTAGCCAAAATTTCATTGGAAGTGGAGGTGGTGCAGGCGGTTCATCATTAACAGGGGCTAATCATGTCAAAAGTGCTATAAATGGCAATGAAAAATGTATAGTTTTTTATTTCAATAAAAATTTTGATGCTGTTTAAAGGAACTATCATATTTTATATTGGTTGAGATATTTTAGCAGTTAACTCTTTTGGCACCGTTCGAGTGGATACTAGTGGCCTAAGCGACAGTAAAATAGGTTCGGAAATCCGTCTAAACGAAGAACGAAAGGGAATAGGCGCTATGAATGTGGGTGGATCCGCAAGTGGGCCAGTTAATTTCATTGATATTGTCAATGGACTTGAAGTTGATGATGCTAGTGGTCATATAGGTTAATGTTTTCGAAAACTTGCTTGCTTTACTACTGTTAGACCTTTTTTTTGATAAGCATAGCTCAAGGCAGATTTGTCGCTCATTTTTTATTATATGTTTAATTTGATAAGTGAATTATTGTCAAAAGCTTAAGCTTGAGGCTTATCTATAACTGAGGATTGATTCAGAAAAACGAACGAACTCTCATTCCCTTTTATTCATCCAAGAAGTTGTAAAGTTTCGATACAAAAGTTTTATAAAAATTTTCATTTGGGTTTAGTCGCGCTTGGAAACGGAGAAATCCGCGGTCATGGTACGAAAAATTCAAATGCAACAATGATGACAAATACGTTATATAATAATGGTAAAACAATGGTGATGGCGAGCGGTTCGGGAATTGCTGAAGGAATCAATCAATCTTCTGGCTTGGATATCAATGCCAATGGGCATTTATCTAACAAAGGATTGAATAATAGTTGGTTCTAAATCCCCATTACGATTCAGTTGAAAATTATGTTGGGAAACTTTTTTAATATATGCTCAGAGGTACAAATACTGCACCATTTCTGGCTTGGCTAATTCTATTGATTAAGAAAGCTCCTATTAGGTTTTTCGACATTGAGCCATATTGTCAACATTAACCTAAAATATTCTTCATTTTTTTTTAGTTTAGGTGGTTCTACATTTGCTAAAGGTTCATCAAATGGTGAAAAAAGTAGAGTCACTGGAAATATATGCTTGGATATGAATGATAATGGTACTCGTACTTCAACAAATATGCTTTCTGTAGGTTCAGGTCGTGGTCCATCAAATGCTGCTTCTTCAGGTCTTCTAGAATACTTGGGCGCCAATAACATGAAAAAAAGTTAGTTGTTAGATTAACATAGAATTGCTTAGTAAAATTATATGAATGGTCTAATTGCACTGGAAATTCGAATATTTTAGCGTTACTTCTCCGGTTCTGTGTAATACTGGCGACTCACCTGTATTTCTATCTCCAAGGGACTCTCTGGCATATTTGTCTAGTGCGACAAGCCAGTGGAGCGAGTTTAACCAGTGATAGTGAGGACTCTTTAAAAAAATAATTCTCTAGCTAAATATCGATATTTGGTTAAATATGTAAAGGCCTAATATATTTTTTTAATTGCAGATGCTTCTGTAAATGGATTAGTAACAGCAAATGGCGATTTGACTCAAGTATTATCCTCTTCGTCACTCGCATTACAAAATGGTAGACAAACATTGACCAATTTTCAGAATGCAACTTCAGAATCGAGAGGATCAAGTTCAGTATCGGCTGGTAATATAAGTATACTAAAAAGAAAGAAGCGATTTATAATGTTTCAAAATAATGAAAGAATGCAAGGAATATTGAAATAATTTGGTATATGAGCTACTAAAATTATTAAAATTAATATTAATTGAAAATTAATTTTAGAAAATTTTCATAAAAATTTCAATTGAAATTCATAATTTTTCATTTTTAATATATAAAAAATCTTTTTAAATGAATAAATTTTTAAAATAAATTAATAAGTTTATTGTATTAAAAGTATTTTCACTTAATGAGTTTTTTCAAGCTTTAAAGGCTTTAAACTGTTTTTGGTTCCATTTAAATCACCACTTCACTCAGTGAATTTGTTCATTGAATCGAATTTTGCCTCAACTAATAGTAAAGAATTATTTCTGGAAACTGAAACCTAAGATTCATCTATACTTCATTCACAAAGCAATTCACCTAAGAACTGAACGCGCAAACGAAATAAGAAATGGTGACTGCTTTTAGAAAAGAAAGAAACTTTTTTGTAGAAATTTTTTGTGGAAATTTGTATACCATTATTATTTACGATTTATCAGCACACAATGAAAAATAATTTCTATTTTGCACAAAAAATTGTAATGAAATTGCTAAAGGTAAGAAATGGATTGTATATTAGAGTTTCCGTAAAAAATCTTATCACACGAACTAAATGTTAAGTGATAAGTAAATATCAGAATGCAATAAAATAAATGTGTAGAAAAAACCTTAAAACCACTCAAATATATTATTTTGAAAATTTGCTAAATCGATTGTTTTATCTTTCTTTCGACCAGATTTTCAACGAACCGAAATTTATTCGAAAAAAAATGATAGATTTTGTCAAAGCAATTTAATAAAATTTAATAAGTAAATTCTCGAAATTGGATTAAATTTATATTTCCGACTGAATTTTAGATTTTTTTAAATATTTGATAATTTTTTGTCCATTCTCTATTTCCGACGCACTTTTTTTTTAATCCGAAATTTGACTATTTTTTAAAATTTTTAAAAATACGGATGATTTTGAAATTTTAGCGATAGAATAATACAATTTTCTTAAGAAATATTTTCATTTTTGCAAAATTCTTTAATCGTCAATCGTTGTTTTTTCTTTTGCAATTAAATTAAATTTTCTTCCGAATGATAGTCAAAATGATAGCCAAAACTCAGATTTTTTAAGTAAAAAATCCAGGTGGAAGCAATTCGCTTTTATTTTTGTCACCATGTGGCTCTCTCGCAAAAACCCACATCTAGAAAACTATCTAGAAAACTATAGTGGTGCTAGCAACTAGCTGAAAAGAAGTTGATGGCGCAAACTTAACCAGAAAAACTGAATGATTGTTTTTCTTTGTAGAAGCAATGAGTAAGGTTTAATCTGTACAAAAATATTCTCTGCAAATTTCACATTCAGTCCTTCCTTTTACTTATTTTATTGGTTTTCATTTCATTTTTTTTCATTGTTACAAATTTGCGGCCAAGTTTATTGAATTATAGTATTCACCAAATTAAAAATATATTCATGAATTCATTAATGGCAGTCCAATGATAAGGTAGCAAATGATAGTATAGAAAAAAAAGAAAAAAAAATTATCAAGCAAATTGAAATTTAACTTCTAAGTGGAAAAGTACCATTCGAAATACTGATAATTTAATTAATCTGTCAACTTAAATTATTGAAAAAATTTCTGACTTTTATTAATACATTAAACTTCATAAATGCTATTCTATTTTATAAATGATTAAATGATTAAATATTTAATTGATCAACAAAGTTCATAAATTTTTTCATCATTATTAAAAAATATTAAATTCATCATTAAAAATAAAGAGGAATATTTGCAAAGAGCGCCGTTGTGCGTCCGTTTAAATCCGAGTTATCCGAGTTGTCCAATCCGAATTACCAGTGAATCAAGCTGTAAAGAAACAAATCTTCTATATCTTAATAAAATACCATTGGAATTCACACCTGGATGATGCTGAAGGTCCACCTATACTATCGCTAAATTGCGATATAGCTACCCTAATTAACAATGGAACTAGCAAAGCTAGAAGTGTTGAGTGTTGGAGAGATAATAGAAATCTAAAAATGTAGTTTATATCTATTATTTCATCCTTTTGAAACCTCGTGGAAAATACTGCCAATTCAAAATAAAGAAAGTGGACCAACGTTTTTTTACTTGTTATACCACAAAGGCCACAAGTTTTACGGCACTCTCGTTCCATCAATTCTTTGTAGATTGCATTATTGCAAAGAGAAACTCTTGCAGGGCAATCTGAAGGTCTACCTGGCGCTGCTCTATCCACACATTCAGTTGGAGTTACTAAAAATAAATTTTCGAATAATTAGGATGGATTTACTGTTTTTTTGCTCGTCAGAGATCAAATGCGATAATTGAGAATTTGCATGAAACCTACCATCGTAGCATTTATTATCAGTTGTATTACAGAAATATCCAGTTGGGCAAAGATTTCCAACACAAGCTATAAATTTTTTTGATAAGCTTGAATCGTTTCAGTGAAAAAAAAATCAAACGATATTATTTTATTCAACGAATTAATATAAAAATTTTTAAAAACACTTTTTTCCTTGAGAATTAAATAAATTCAAATATTCTACATGTAAGAAACGCCGAAATACTGTAATGATAAAGGCAGGTGATTGATATGGAATGTGACAAATTGCATACAATCCTCTGTGTTCTTCCGATGAGGATTCTTGGGCAGGACCCTCTGAGAACTTATCTTGCCTTATTTCAATATCTTCCAGGTCTCTGGTAGGGGAATGAAGTTGAACCATACCGCCACAGAAGATAAGAAGAGGAATTATATAAATTTATATAATCTATATAAATTTATATAGCCGAATATTCCGGTTATATAAATTTTCTTTTAAAATATTCAGAATTTATCGCCGTCAAAAAGACCGGCCTTATTCACTCGCGCTATTATCTCCGTGTGATTTTCCGGAAAAAATTTATTGGCTATGAGCTAACGGAAGAAGCAACATTGAACTTGATTTTTTAGCTGCATTTCAGCGTGACTAAACCCACTTTTTTCGTTGGAGAAGCCAAGTATTAAGGAAAAAAATGAAGCAGATGAATCTCCAGTAGTAAGTCGGACTTCGTTTTTGTGTTTTTTTTGGTTCCATTCCTATTGGAGAGAAAGAAATTAGATTTTTGCCTTTAGATGAAACAATATGCCACTCGATCCATAACTGATAATAATATATTCCTGGTTTAATAAAAAAATAAAAAAAGAATTTTTAATATTAGTTATTATTTATATATTAAAAAACAACTCGAATTTTTCATAAAATGCTAATTTGTTTATCAGTTTTTATCAACAACAAAAATTTATATTCATAAAAAACTTACGTCCAACATCATTTGCAATACATTGATAGGAAAAGTACAACGAGATGAATGCGATGAAAAATGAGAACATGAGAATATGAATGATATAAAATTATCAAAAAAGCCTTTTATATGATATGCTTGTGTACACATTCCATTCCATTAATCCAATGTTTTAGGCTCAAATATATATTTAAATATTTTTGTCAAGTAAAGAAATAAACATATAAAATATTTTTTACTTTTTTTCTTATCTCTTTTGAGTGATATGAATTGTTTTCAATTGCAGATCCTCTATCAGAGATCTGGAAGCCTTGATGATTTTGCCTAGTGTCTTAGCTATTTCTAGAAGTGCGCTCGCTCTTCTAAATAGGGAACTCCGATTATATTTCTAGGATCTTCACAACTAGTGCTCCTACAATCTTTTTGGTCATCCTATACCTTCCCTAGTTCCTCTTTCAGTCTCTAATATTTTTCTATTTCTTTTTCTTGTTTCTTGTTATACCTATATCTACCCCATTGCCGTTTTTTGCTGTTTATCCGTTACCACGATATCTAATTAATTGTTCAGTATTCCATCTGGATGGTCTCATAGAATCTTGGCCTTATTATTTTCTCCACGATTTTCTGATCTGGTTTTGAGGAGGTTTTTACTCATATATTTCTGTAGACATTGTGAGTTACTTGATTATGACTTTTACTCACCAAGCACCTTCCATCTTCCGACTGGTACAATGCATGATTTAGGATGAAAATTTTCGTGTATTGAGGAGTATCTTCAGCCTCTATGTTACGTGTTGCGTACATATTTATTTTTATTCTTTGGTAGTATTTGGATGTTGCTATCTTCGTTACCTCTTCGTCATGGTTCTAATGTGACTGTAGAATACCAAGACACCAAGCTTGTAGGTCAGCTATGTGTTTCTAGTAGATCTACATCCTATTAATTTTAACCATTTTCCCTCACTTTACTACTATTAGGCCACACTTCTCTAGTTCGAATGGTTTCTAAATGTCATCATTTTAGATTCTTGTTAGATGAATGAGCATGACAATGCCTCGCTTTCAGCATTTAACTTGATGGTTTCATGACTGATGTTAGTTTCACTTTTAGACTTGCATCCATATCCATTTCCTGTAATTATCTGGCTTAGAATAGCTTCGTCCTATGCAAAGCAGAATGGCAGAAACGATGCATTTATCATTTTGATGCATGCCTCAGTTGATAACCATGAAACTGTTTTTATTTCTAGTGTCTTTTTCTATATTACCTTTCAGTGAGTTCTTGATGGTCTTTAGGACCCTGTTAATTTTGTATAGAGCCATACATTCATAGATCCATGTGTGCACCAGTGAACCACTTTTTTATAGCCAAACCATTGATTGGTTTCGATTGGTGTGACGAAGCCTTGAGTGTCCTTTTATCCTTCCTTTTTATCCTTTTCCTTTTTATAAGCAGCTGGTGTTTTGAGCAGCCTCTGGTGTTGTTCTCTATGTCCTTTTGAATTATGTTCATATACTGGCCTATGTGGTACTTTGGTTTTACTATGATGACTGATGCGACTTCCCTGTATTGTGCGCAGATAGGTTATTGGTTGGCAGTTGGACGGCATTTCCTTATAAAAGTTTTTTTCAAAATCATCCTTCCTTATGCTTACCAACTGGGGCTTGCCACGAGCAGCTGGTTTATTTGTTAATAAGGAATTCAAGAACTGCATAAGTTTCTTTATGTATAATTATATATAAATGGTACTAGATGGCTCAACGAGTTGTTGTTCTCATTTTGGAGCGTCAATACTGGAGTTCTACTTGGATGTGAGCAAATCATAAGGCCAAGTAATATCGGCGATTCGCTCAAATTTCTTTCGTCAAATACTCTTTGGCAAAATTGATAAAATTTTTTCATTCTCTATTGAAATAGAGTGAGTTCAGCCAGAAATGAAGAGCACTTTTATAATTATACAACAATACTATCTTATGCTATTATAAATTCTAAATCTAGAAATGATGCTGGGAATCTGGATTTGTGTACGGAATCCGATTTCAGTTACTTCTACGATATGTACTTTCTCGCTTGAAGATAGCAGCCATCCGGAATGAATTCGCTTTTAATAAAGCATTTGCTCTTGTCGAGGGACGGAAAAGGAGGAACCACTTATTCACAATCTGAATTTAACTTCATTATCACCCATAAGTTTCCTTTAAAATAGGAGATTATATATGAAAAATAATATTACCAATTAACCGAAATTAAGTTTCGGTTAATTTTTTAAACAGAAATCTATTTCTTTTTTTGGTTAAATATAAAATATATCGAAATCCATAGTTAATTTCATCTTTTTATTCATTTTTTTCATTCATTGCTTTTTTCAATTTTTCCATTTTCCATTTTTCTTGTTTCCATTTAATTTTAAAAAATTTTTTATATCAAAATTAAAAGATTTCATTTTAATTTTTCAATTAAAAAGCGATTTAAATTTTTGTTATTATTCATTTATATACTTTTATACTTTTTCTTTCTTGTCAATCTTTATTTGCATTTTGAAAAATTGAAATAAAATGACTATTGAAATTGAAACATAATAGAATATTTGCAATAAACATTTATTGATATTTAAAATATTTGCTATTAACAAAAAAAACTTATCTTATCAGATTTTTCTAAAACTATACTATAGTGATAAATGATTAAAAGTGCATTGATAATAATGGAAAATATAATATGGAAAAAAAAATTTGGTAGGAAAGATGGCGTCTATTTACTCTCACTTATTTTATAAAAAAAATAAAAATTTTTAAAAATTCATTTTTAAAAATTCAAAATTTCGAGATTTGGAAACGTTAAAAATAGAAAATGAAATAAGCTAAACGAGAAATGAATGAATTATAAGAAAAATTGAATTATGAAGAAAAAAACATTATTGAAATTAAAATATTCATTTCAGAAAAATTTCATTTCATAAAAATTTTTTCATTTTATAAAAATTCTCCCTCGTTTTTTTTCCCTTTTCTTTTGTTCATTTTGATCGAATATAGAAAATTTAAAAAAATCAAAAAATTAATTTTGTTTCTTTAAAAAAAAATTCTTTTAAAAATTGAATATTGAATCCCATATTTATAAATATAAATAAATAATTGTTTTTTTTTTCAGTATTATTTGAAAAAACCCAGAAAAATGCTTTACGGCTCAAATTTCTAAAAGAAAAAACAAATCGCAATTCCATCGTTTCACTATTTACAAATTTTTTTCAAATCGGCTTTTATGGCTTTGCAAAACGATTTATATGAAATAGATTAAGCCACATGCCGAATATCATGCAAAGCCTTATGTGGTACTTTGAAGAGCAATAAAGTGGTAATTAATTTAATTTAATAAATTTAAGTAAAAGTTATAAAATTGCAAATATTCAGGCGTTTATAGGAATTTTAATTATGAGCTATTTTAAAAAGTAATTAAAAAGTAAAATCAAAAAATAATAAAAGTAATAAATAAAGCAATAAGTAAATGGGGTAATAAGTAAATAATAATTATTCATCTGGCTTATATGCTAGAATATCTTTTTTTTAAAGTTTAAGTTTTTATAGTTTTTTCGATATTTTTAGAAAATTTTGAAAAAAATTTGAAAAGAAAAATATTATGGAAAATGTATTAAAGGGAAAAATCATAAAAAAGAGAGATATGACAAAATGATAAATTTTTTCCAAAAAATAAAATTTAACAAAAAATATTAAAGTAAATAAACTTAAGAAATTTTTTAAAACATTAATAAATATTGTATTTAAATGGTACAAGTATAAAAGGAAAAAAATATCAATTATCAATTAAATTATCAATTAACAATTTGTGCAGTTTTGTAGAGTTTCAAATGAAAAAATATGGTAATCACTAAAATAATGAATAGATAATGAATCACAATGAATATTTTATAATAATTATTTTCTATATTTCTATATTTTTTATATTAATTAATTAAATTTTAAAGGTATAAAATTACAAAAAGTATAAAATTAAAATATTAAAGTTAAATTAGGATTAAATGCAAATGCAAAAAATGGTATATCTCAAATTCCCTACTTCTTTTGACTATCTGTTTCATATGTTAATTTGAAATTTTTATCTTATCAGAATAGTCATAATTGTATAAATGAATTTCCACTGGCTTATATGCTAGAATATCCAAATACATTAAATAGTGATAATTCGATTTTTACTAATATCAAATATCAAAATTTAGAAAATTTAAAAAATATGAAAATTCTACTGGCAACAATGAGTAAATATTTATGAGCTATTCATTATCTATTCCACCAAATTTATGATTTTTTAAAAAAATTTATATATACATATATTTGAATATTTTAGGTAATAATACAATATTGCTTGCTTTACAAAATAAATTTTCGTTAATCTGAAATCATCTTACAGCAAATTCATATGCGCTATGTGCTAAATCCTGCTTATCTTCATGAACTACAATGCCTTCTATAAAGATAGTGCAAGCAAAAGGAGGACTTTTTATAATCTTAGTTTTTGAAGAATAATACATCGGAAGAATTTCAATAAAATCATCGATTATGCGAACTTTGAATATCTTTTATGGGTCATAAGGGAGGAAGTGGTATGGTATTTTTCGAAAGAAAAGATATTTGGGAAGATTTCTTATAGCTTTAAGATCCTTTCAAGATCCATACATTTCCTGATTTGTATTCCTTATACTTCTTACAAATACCTCGGAAAAATATAATTACCTGGGAAAAGGAAGTTTACAAAAAAAACGACTAGCCAAATAAACGATAATCAAAATAATAATACTAAATCAATTGTATTTAAACTCTTATCCAGATAAGCACAAATTTCTCAAATTATTTCACATTATATTATTTAATTCCTAAACTGTACCATTTTTTAATGAAGAAATCCCTAAGAAACATTTTCCTCATATGAGACTAAGAAAAGCAAACCAAATTATATTATTTCATTCCCGTCTAATACTGAACATTTTCACTGAAATTTTAATGCATATGATAATCCATTTCTTTTCTGCATTTGTAATTTTTATTTGTATTTTTTATAAAAAGTTTCATTTGTCATAATAAATAGTAAATTTTTTAAAAAATGATCTATTCAGTGCTATAAAGAAATGATCAAAAAAAAATATTAGTTTGGAAATAGCGATGAAATTTTCATATTAAAAATAAATAGCTGAATAATTTCCTTCCAAAACATTTATTGAAATTATTATACAATAAATAAAGTAGCGTGAAGCGTATATTAAAAATATCAAAATTTTTATATCAAAATAATCAATATATCAATCATATCAAAAATATCAAAATATTTCGAAAAACAGTTGTAGTTACATCAACAATTATCGGGCATCATAAACCATCACTGAAAATAATTAAATAATGGTTTTGTTCTATTTTTTAATTCAAAGTTTTTGGAATTTTATAAAAATTATTATATTTCTAATTATATTAAATTATTATATTATGATATTAATGATATTAAATAATGAATAAATAATTAAATATTTACATTTCTCTTTGGATGATAAAAGAATAAAAAAATCATCATCTGAATTATCTATTGCAAAAAACCTATTAACTTTTTAAATTTCAACAAATCTAAACTGACAATCACTAGTCAAAGATGTAAATAAAGTAAGTGTAGGCTAGCAATGTAATTAAGGGTACCAGATACAATTATCCAATCACCTTAGTAATTTGCAGAATAATAAATATCAGTAAAATAAATATATAATAAAGCACTAACAAATAAAAATATTAATAAAATAATAAATAAATAAATAACAAATAAATAATGTATAATAATATAATAAAAATATATAAATAAAAGTAATAATATAAATAATAATAGTTTAAAGATTTAATAATAATTTAAAAATTTAGCGCAATATGCATTTATGTATAAAATGTATAATATATCCTCTTCATCTTTTCATTTCGTTATCAACATTTATTTCATCAGCAAAAAAATTAGGATGAAAATAAGAAATGCTGATAACCAACATTCTGACCAAATTATATAGACAATACTAGCGATTCACCTATACGTCTATCTCCAAGTAATTTAAAATTTGAGCCGACAAATAAGAGGAGAGAGCTAACCAGAAATGGTGAGCGCTCTTAAAAAACAGCTAAAGAAGCGCAAGACTGTCTTGCTTAAGCTTCTTTAAAACAAAATAATAAAAATATTAAATGAAAAATATTAAATGAAAATGAAAACAATAAATGACAAAACAATAATGACAAAGTAATATTAAATACTTTCAAAAAATTTTCACTCAAATCGCTTTCAAAACATAATTCTCAAAAGATACAAATTTAAATTTCATTAAAATGAAATTTCATTAAAATGAAACTAACATTTTCTAGTGCGCTTCTTATATAGAATTCTATAACCACATTCACGACATCTGATTGCATCTTTTGGTCGAATTTCATTTTCACTATGACATTCTAAAATCTTTTGCTGATAAAATATTTTTTAAAAATATTTTAAATATTAATATTCAATATATTTTGTTTTTTAAAAATTTTTGAAAAAGACTGAAACTGTATTAGAATATTACAATAAAGCAACAGAAAATAAGTTAACAATGTTAGTGGAAAAGGACAAACTGATAATACCATTATTACAATTCATTTAAATGAAGATTTTTAATTTTTTTTTAATTTTAAAATATTTTGCTAAATTCTGATCGTTAAAAATTTAAAGTATTTTCTTGCATCCGCCTATAAATTACAATAAAATTACAATAAATTAACAGTATTCGCAAAAAAAATGAATTCGACTTTTACCGATCCATTTTCACTTTCCTTACCGAAGTTGAATAATTTTCACCTGATGTGCTTACGAGGGATAGAATGGGTCAGTGGATCACTGATCAATTCGGACCGTCAATGGTGAGGTCGACTTCCCAGAGGAGTAAATCTATCCAAAAATCCTGTACTTCTACCGCCAAGAGACTGGTACATCCCTGGCACATCTGCCAGTGCGACAAGTCAACAGATCTAACCATGAGTCCAACCAGTAAGGCCTCTTTGGAAAAAATGGGCCAATGACCTTTATTTGAGTCAAAAGCGCAGTAATTCGCATAGGACAAAAACAATAAAAATTTATTTTAAATTAGGAATCTTTTCTGAGCCTCTAAATAACGGGCTTTTTTTCATCACACATATAAATTTAAGTGCAAATGGTTTAATGCTTTAGTATGGTTTAGTGCCAGGATGATTGTCATCGCAATCAAAAATGGCTCGAATCCGACCGATATGCCTTTCGCAGAACCGCAGTGCATACTGCCGAATGGCGATGTATGAATCCGTGGGTCCTCGTTCAGTTCGATACGCCAATGCTAAGGTGTTATACAATCTGGCAGGAGCAAATCTATCTTTCAAAAATCCTGGTACTGCTGATGACTCACCGTCTATCGCTAAATGAGTCCCTAGCAAACCTGCCTAATCTGACAAGCCAATAGAGCGTAAAATCCAAAAAATATAATCACTATAAATAATAATAAACACGTACCGCCACAAATATAAATCATACTTCCACTTTTTATCGCTGTTGTAGGATTCACCGAAGGAGTTCCACTACTTTCCATTTTAAAAACAACTATAAAAATAAAAATAAGCAATTTAAATAAATAAATAAATTTTATGAAAAACGTCATAATTTTTATAAAATTTTCATTATTTTTTGATATTAAAACAAATTTTTAAAACAAATTTTTTTTAAAATTAATTAAAACTAAAAATTAAATTTTTAATTATTTTTTAAAAATTATTACAAATTTTTTCATTAAAATTAATTGAAATTAATAAAAAAAGCGATTATTGAATCGTTTTAATGTTTCGAATAAATCAACACAGTTTGAATTCGTCCTTAGCAATAAACCTTAAAATCAAAAGCAATATCCACACAACGCTGGATATGGTACTCGCCTATGTGTCTATCTCGAAGTAATCCACAAAAAGTATGTCCCATTCAAGTAATTAGTGGTGTTTCAAAGGTTATAACATTGGATACTAGCGAACTTAAGACAACAATAAATAATAAATCTCCATTATGAAATTAATTGCGAAATTATGGGCAGACAGGTCGAGTGGCAGTCATGATGGTTGAACGGCATAGGTCCCATCTCCATCTCCCGACGAAAGCACTAGTAGTCAAAACCAAACCCAAGCGGTACCACACTCCAACTTTCTTCAACAAACAACTTTAGAGAAAAATATCCCACCTTATTAACCAGTAAAAATATTAGGACTACTGGAAAAGACTTCAACATAATCACGGCCACGGCCGCAGTACTGTATGGCCCCTCTGGGATGGAGTTTGTGATAAACTAGGTTGAGAATATAGAAGAAATATTATAAGAGGAGTGGGATGGGGGGGAGGAAGGCGTCTTTTCAATATCTTTTCGGAATAATAGGTTTCAGGTTGTTTTGGAAATAATTCAGTGTCCTGTATTATTCCAATTTTTTTCTTTGTTCCCCGTTTTTGTTGCTTTTTTCATTTTCTTTTAGCTTTCCCACTTAGAAATTTTTGGTTTCAGTTGGCTAAAATGATCGATTGGCCATTTTAATCGATTTGGTCAGTACAATCGATCGGCCAGTATAATCGAGTGGCCAGTATAACCGACCGGCCAGTCTAATCGATTGGCCAATATAATCGTTTTGGCCAACGTTAATAATTCAATAAATTCGATTATTTTCGTTCGTTATTGTTGGTTCGAATTATTTTATAAATAATTAAAAAATAATTTCATTTTCCTTTAATTTTATAGAGGAATTAAATTTCTTAAAAAGGTATTATTTTAAAAATTTCTCTAAAATTTTTTTTCTTGTTATCATTTTACTTTGATAAATTTTTTTTTAAAGTTCAAGACTTTTAATATTAGTTTAAATTATATTATAACTATATTATAATTAAATTATATATTGGCGAAATTATATCCACTGATAGCTAATAGTTACTGATATGACGCCGACACTGATCTGATAAAACCATGATATTTCATGATATCTCACAAAAGTATGATATTATATATTCACGATATAAACGGCTGATTCAGGATTTCGGATATCGTTCCTCGATGAAAACAATTTATCATTAAAAATGTAATCAACGTGTCGTAGTGGATATTCCATTCTACCTGTATCTCCAAGCAACTTTTTACTGATAAAAATTTTTATAGAAATGGATACCGATATATTAGAATATTCATTTTGTATTAAATAAATAAAACTTTTTAAGTTTTTAAGATTTTTATCTTTTTTTATCTTTATTGATACAAGTTTTTTATCTTTATTGATAAATTTTATTATCATTTATTGATAAAGCCAATACAAATCCAATAATAAAGAATAATCATATATTCAAAATAAGTTATCATAAGGAAAATTAAGTTTCTTCCAATAATTCAATAAATCATTTTGAAATTTCTTACTACTAAGATATTCAAATTGTTTATAATTCGTAACACATATTACATACTGAAATGAATAAAAAAATTATTAAAACGGATTGATAATTGAATAGCTTCGACTAAGGACAAGCAAAAGGTTGGTCCTGTCCTCCTTTCTAAGTGTCCCCAAATGGCTGGTACAATTGCAATCAGTAAAGCCAGCCAGCCAAGCCAAGCACTTTACAAATACATATAGTCCTATAGAAACAGCGCATTCTCAAAAATCAGATTGGATTTTTATAATTCTATCGAGTAATTTTTAGTAATTTCAGGTAATTTTTTCATTAATAACCGGATCTGTGAATATTGTTTCAATTTGATATTAAAAATCATTAAAAATAATTTAATTTACCTTATTTTTTCCAACTTTTATTGGAAACCAAATGCATCTTTCGAAAAATGGATTATATCTACTTATAACCTGAAATTTTACTTTATTTTTTCTCAATAGAATTCTATATTCCCTATTTAATTATCCTTATCACCTTATCATCCAAGTGTATTTTTTATCAAGGCGCTAAATTTTTTCATTTTTTTCTTTTACATTTATTAAGAAATTCCTTGGCTCGTGAAAGAAAATTTAAAAATTATTAATAAAAACGAAATATTCATATATAAGAATTTTGGAAGCTAAGTCTAAGTTCAGATAACGACCCCTTGAAATTCACTGACGATTTCGATTTCAAAACTCGAGAAATCATTGAATTGATTCCTTACACCTTGCTTGGAATCAATGAAATGCGAATGGTGTCAAGGATATATCTAAGGATATATCTATACATCTCCTTCTTCTAACAGCTTTCACCATTACCGATTGGGTTGATTCCTCTGGCTAGGGTTAAAGCGCTCGATCTGATGCCATATACTTGAGATCAATAAATGCCATACCTTTTTCCTATGGCTATATATATATATATATATATATATATATCGTTAGGTCACCTATATATTTAAAGTCCTTTCTAACTTTACTAATATATCATTGTAATTAATATTAATAGTGCTTAAAATAAATGAATAAATCCTATGATAGAGAATTATTGTTTGTCAAATTAATAAGCAATAAAAATTTCACAAACAATTCACCTTATCAACACTTATGGCGTCTTTTCCAATTGATAAGAAATTTGATATAAAAATACCTGAAATAAATAATTTTAAAAAATGAGTCAGAAAAAACAACTAAATATTTTGAAAAATATTCTCTCTATTTCGGTTGATAAAAATTTTTTACTCATTTTGATTTTATAAAATTTAAAATAATAATATTAAAATAAAAATTTCATGAATTTTACTGGTCCACTTGCAGAAGATATACAAAACATTTAATATTATAAATATGATTTGATCATTTTAATTCACCTGATTTTTTGAGAATTTTTGGAAAATATTTAATAACCGAAGGATCCATAAAAGGTTCACACGGGCACATTATTTGATGTTTATCTGATGTGGAAGCATCCAAAATAATTAGATCGAATTTCTGACCTAAAAATAATAACTATCAATATTTTGAATATAGTACTTAAAATATTAATATAGTATTTTAATTTATAATATTTATATAATATAATTACTATATTTAAAAAAATCTTTTTTTGCATTACATTTTTTTTAAATTTCATTACATTTTTTATTTCAAGAGTTTTCACCATTAATGGTTGTTGAACTCTCTCTGCTAGCTTGTCGCACTGGACAAATATCTAGTTCCTTGGCAATAGAAGTACAGGTGAGTCGCCAGCATTACCCGGATTTTTGAATAGGTTTTGCGGTTTTGTTTTCCCGGATTTGCTTCTGCAGGAAATAGAACCTCAGCATCGGCACTCCAAATTAAACAACAGCTCATTGAGCCATTTTATAGCCAAAAAAGAACATTGGGATTTTTTAAATGCCAATTTATTAATTTGGAATTATGATAGAAATTGTCTATATGGCTTGTATATATTTTTCATAAAAATTGATTGAGGAAATATATATTTTTTACCTGTTTCGGAACATTTTTTTATAAATTTTGCACCATCTTCAACTATACACCTTTGCCTATCGTCCTCAATTAAACCAAAATATTTTTTAGCAAGATTTACGATGAATTTGTCGATCTCAACCACTGTAACGTTGATCTATAAGATGGAAAAAAAAATTAGTCAAATTATTTAATTTTCTAATAAATTATGCAAAGATAAATGGCAACCAGACGGGTATAAATTGCACAAAAAATTAGGTTAAATCTATCCATTTGAACTTTCCAGTTTTATAATAATATTCAACAATCTTCGCATATTTTAATATGATTGTGGCTTTCCTCCAAAAAATAGGCAATTATTTTACCTCTGTTAGAAGCTTCACATCCGCTATAATGTATTATATCTATTTGAATGGGCTTTTGTGGATAATTATAGTACCACAGTGACGACCATTCGTATCAGTGATACAATCATCATTGTGGTACAAAAAAGGATGATACTGCTTTTGTACTTTAATACTTTCTGAGCATTGCAAAAAAAAGGATTATCATGATTTTCATTCCTAAGCCAAAAAATTAGCTTTATCTTTACCACTGCATAGTGATAATATAATCTCATTGCTTTTCCTTTATTGCCAGTATAAAACAAGAAATAACATTTTCTGTAGCATGTCGAAAATAATTATTAGATGAACCACCGCCAAGTCCAATAATAAGAACATCACCAGGGATCGTTTCGTTGGTACTAATCACTCCAGTTGCATATGCTGCTGATAATATAGAATATAAGTAAATTGATCGAGGATCCGAATAATCAATAGGCCATTTTGTGGTATCAATTGGCTCAATGATACCTGAAAACACTGAGATTATTTTAAATTTTCAACATATATTTAGTGAAATCAATGGAAATTTTATTAGCAATTTAATTACTAGATCTTTTTCTTCTAATAACTCGCACCACTAGTGCTGTGGTCGCTCCATTAGCAACCATTAAGTAACCATTTCCGAACCTTCTGATCCTATGATGCTAATCCTGGTAGTCAGTATCTTATCACTTATTTTTTTCGATTACTTATTTTTTCGCAGCCTAAGCCTATATGTCGTTGAGTCGCCTAAGAGCCCAAAATCTTCTGGTCGTATTTATCCGGATTCTGATTGATCCTCCTTGCTTTTCCAGTATACTCATCTATCACAGGATTTTGCAACGTATGCATTAATACTATGGTGGTAATAATACTATGAAGTAAATCGCAAGAAAAACTTTATACAATATTGTTAATGATAGCATGTGGGCAATGATGTGAACTCTTCCATTCTCATCGTTTTTTCGAGCCATATAATAGATGCGAAATTTTGAAGTATATTTCGCAGCGATTCTAGAGGAACTTTGCCAAGCGAAAGAAGCATCTCTATCTGCACCTGTCCGAGCAGGAATTTTATCTTTCGCTTGGCCATTAGGTATAAGAATGGGTCCAAGATATTTAAAGTCTGTCACTTCTTGAATGGTTGATAAAATTATATAAGTTTGTGATCTTATCAGCGTCTGATTTATATTGATTTGAAGGCCAATTTCTGCTCATATTCTGTTGGGCGCCTGTTGCAACTATTCATAACTGCCTGTCGAAAAAATTCATGTTATCAGCATATTCAAGGTCTGTGGGGGAAAGGATATAACCTTGACAGCTCGACTTAGTTGGAACAGTTGATTTAGTTGGATTTAGTTTCTTCGCGAGAACTTCAACGTTTTTTTTTATCATTATATTCAAGTGTAGTTCACATATTGGCTTTCTACCTATTAAACATTAGAAAAGAAACGATTTGCACGAAAAAAAAATCTGAGCATTAAATGCGTTATAGAAATCGAAGATTTTTTAATCCACCAATTTTATACGATATTAATGATAAAATAACATACGGTCGGGTATCATGACCGCAATGCTTGTGGCTTTAATCCAATCATCGAGTACCATTTTTCGCTCTATAAACATTCTAAAACCCTTTATCATTTTTTTTCTTAAAAACGAAAAATATAAAATCTTTTAGATTTTAACAACTTTATTGGAACTTACAAAATATCCAATAATGGAATATTTGCGCAAATACTTTTCTTTTCGCTACAACTAAATATAGTAGATATTATCTAATTAAGGTAGTTCCATTGACTATTAGAAATTTTCGGCGGGGAATAATTTAGCGATTGAAGAAGATCATCACCACCGTTCGTATTTTTTTAAATGGAAGCCTATTCTTATATTTGCTTGGGCAAAGAATCGAATCTATGGTATTTGAAGTGAATGTAAGCAATTATACTATTTACACCATAGTAAATTTTAAATTTTTCTATAATTTATATATTATGGTAACTCTATTCGTATACTATGTTATAGTATAACAAGTTCCATCTCAAAATGACTCTCTAATGAAAAGACCTTATCCTAGTAGCTGATGGAACCAATAAATGGAACCGTTTAAAAAAATACATACTGTTGATTACGCCGCATTAATACTTCATCAATAATTTGCAAATTATTTGACTGATATATTAGAAATTTTTCATTAAGTTTCAATTTTATATTCTTCTTTTTTCTAGGTTTTTTTCGTTTTTTTTCATTGATACTTGAAGAATTTTTTGAATTTCCATCGTCTAATGAATTTTCACTATTGTTTTCAGTGAATTTTTGAATTTCATTATTATTTTCTCGTTTTTTTAGTTCATCAAAATTCTCGTTTTTTTCTTTCGCTTCATTTTTCGCAGATAATTTATTATATTCATTGTGTTCATTATAAGTGATAATGAATGCAATTATCTAAAAGTATTTAATTAAATTAATAAATATTTGTTTATTTTAAATATTTTATATTTTTTATATTATATAATTTAAATATATAATATTTAACTGAATATTACTAATTTTCAAATTCCTTAGTGAAAAGATACTCGAATTTTATTAATAGAAAATTTTAAATATATATACCAATGCTACTAATGCGAATAATCCGGCATAGAGTGAAGATATTCCCGTATTAAATGGCAAATAATCTCGATGAATCTTCTTATCTTCTTTTTTTTTATCTAAAAATATTATCATAAATTAAAAAAATTATTATAATTAAAAATTATTATATAATTATCAAATTATTATATAAAATTATTACTATATTCATTTATTATATAATCATAAGTTAATCATCTGAATTTTTCTTTAATTAAAGAATTTAATAAAATTTCAAAATCTTAAACTAATGGAAAAAAAAAATCATTTATGCTTAAACTTTGGGGAATGGGGATAGAATGGCTCAGTGGGTATTATTCAGTTAGCGCCGATGCTGAGGTTCTATTCCCCACAAGAGTGAATCTGTAATCCGGGCGACTCACCTATAAGTCTATCGCCAAGGGACTCCCTGGCATATTGCCCAATGCGATAAGCCAAAGCCAGAAGAGTGAGTTTAACAAGTAGAGGTGAAAACTCTTTAGAAAAAAACTTTAGGGAAAATATTTTCAATCAATCGGTAAATAAAAGAAATAAAAGCAGAAATAAATTAAACTAGAAAAAAGAAGCATCAATTTGAGAGAATAATCATGATCATATCATGGAAAATCAATTTGCTTTATATCATTCATGAGATCATGGATCTATATTTCTAGAATCTGAATATGATCATAAATTGTGAACTAGAATAATTGTGGGGATTCAACTATATTTCTAGTGATTATCAGTATCGTTGAGTTGTATCAATTTATTAATGGCAAAGCGCCTACCTAGAAATGGTGAATGCTAGCAACTAATTGCATCTCGTAATTCATGCAAATGAGAAACGTGATAAAGTTTGACATTTTTTAACAAAATTTGAAGAATTTTATAAATTATGATTGGGCCACCAATGATCTTTTTCGAAGTACCATTAATGGAAATAATACCGAACAATTAAGAATTCAAAAGACCTTTTTTTAGAACAACAATATATATATATATATTTAATTTAAAAAGACTCGCCTTATATTGAGTCTAACATTAGTATTTGCATTAATATCGTCAAAAAATATCACCTAACTATGAAATTTTGATTTCGTCATCCATCATAAAAATTGATGCATCTTATCAAAACTTGATAAAAGACTTGATGAATGATGATAAAAGACGAGAATGATGATCTGGAGCGATTCGATGGATAGAGATCTTTATAAGCATAGAGGTAAGCATAGAGACAGAACGATAAATAGGCTTAAATAGTGAGAAAAGTTTCTATTATTTTCAGATGTTGATCCGAACTTAGAAGCTTGAAAATCCCTGGCCTTGCAGGTAACAGAGTCGAATAGCGTGAGCTGTTTTATAAAAACTACCATAAAGCTAAGTTATTCAAAAATAAACCATTATAATCAATTGATTTCCTAAGCTCAAAACTATTGTATTTTTTTAGAAAAAAAAAAGAACTAACTAGAACGGTTAAGCCTTGTCATTCGATAAGCCGGTTTATGGAAAATTAGGTGTGACCGTCAATCATTGACAGCTTTGCAGCTGTGACAATTTTGCTTTCATCACTTAATCATTGTTATTTCATTTGAGATAATTGCTAAGTTGTTTGGTCCTTGAATATATTATTTGCATAAAAATATATATATAGATTCATGATTGATAATTTTCAAACCATGAATATGGAAATAAACCAATTTATGAATGAACCAAACTCATTGGTACAAATTTTTTTTAAGAACCTCTCATCATTCCTGATTAGACTCGCTCCACCGGCTTGTCGCATTGGACAAATATGGACAATGGGGAGTCTCTTAGCGATAGAAGTACAAGTGATTCGGCAGCATCGCTTGGATTTTTGGACAGGTTTATTCCTGCGAAGAATAGAAACTCAGCATCAATGTTGCATTCTATACCCCGAAATTCCAAATTTCTGTCTTTTATCACAAGTTATGTTGCATAAGGTGTTGGAAAATGGTTCAATCTCCGAGCTTTAGTCCTTTAAGCCTTTTAAATGCAGGTGGCCCTATCTCAAGTGAATTTCTTGCGAAATAAACTCACTAATGAGCGGTGATCAAACCAGAAATAGCTGCTGAACAAAAAAAATTATTAATTTTTAATTATTAGTATTAATAATTAATAATAATATGACAAGTCGGTGAAAGATGGAAATATATCACCTCTGAAATATTATTCCTAGCATGAGTAAATCTGCCCAAAAATCCGTGTGATGCTGATGAATCTTCTAAAACAAAGAGACTCTCTAGCATATTTGTCCGTGCTATGCGAGGATAAATTTAAATAAGTGGGCATTATGGATTGTTGTTCTCTTTGGGAAGATTTTGTGATAGTGCAAGTGAAATTGGCCTGCTAAATAGAATATGAACGGTTTGAAGAGATAGACTTAACAAGATTTGATGGATACTAGAGGGCGCAATTGTGCATTTGACATTGTTTTGCATAGTTTATATTGTTTTCGAAACTGGTTATTGATGGTGCGAAAAATTGTGAGATACCATTTTAATCTCATCTTCCTGACGGGACGTTAACAAAATATAATGGGTGCCAATAGAGCATACATTTTCGAGTTTCCTTCTCTGAACACATATAGTCGATCAACTGACACAGGTGAATTGCTATTTATTATCGATAATTTAACAAAAATTTATAATCACTAGATGCATTTGATAGATAAATAGTTAATATTATTGTTATTGATATCAGTATGACGCTGCCTTTATCAAACATTGCCAATTTTTTAATTTTTTTTTACTGATTTTTGCAAAATTAAATGACTATGGCTAATGGCTTTAACTATCAAAATTCACAAAAACTGAATTCCAATGCTACCTTTCCATACATTTACTCGGTGATGCTATATGGCTGCGAAACCAATGAGAATAAAAGATATTAAGAAGCTATCAGCCTTTGACCACTTGTCTAAGTACTTTCTAAAGATCTGTCGAGCGGATAAAATCGTACATCACTTTATGCATCATCACTAAATTTATGATAATAAAATTTATGATTTTCTTAGTTTTTGCCTTTGCAATTTTTCTCTTTAATTTTTCTCTTCTAAGAACATTCAGCATTATTATGCATTATTACCAGTTCCATTGGCTATTAATAATTCTTTCTACAAATTCTTTGAGTGATTTTTCCTACCAGTGAATCTATGATGGCATTTAACTACTGTTAACCAGTATGAAATAAGGATCCAGTATAAAGCATTTTAAAAAACTTATATTTTTATATATAAAATATGTTTGCTCATCGGATTTCTGTTTTGAGTTTCCGCAATAGGACTAGGCTATGTTTATAATTTAATTTAGAACATGTTTTATCCGCAAAATGAAATTAGGAAACTGAAGCTAATTGTTGAATATTCTTTATCACCATTATCATCATTGATCGACATCATTTATTAACAGACATAGACAGCGGAGATAAAATATTAATACTGCTAATACTGCATACAATATTTTTATACTTCTTATCAACTAGAAATTAGTCTTATCAGTCACAAATCAGGAAAGTGATAATTGTAATTTATATGGTTATGGCTATAAAAACATACCAAAATAGTTGAACCAAATAGCATATTTTGTCACAAAAAACAGATATATTTCGTTGATTTTCGCTGATCTGATATATTTTAATGCAATGAATAAATCAGCAGAGTTTGCGAAAATTCATTTCCACAAAATCCAATTGATAATTGATAATCTATGAATATTTAATTTTGTACAACCCATCACTGAATTGGTTTATGAAATTTTTTTCATCTCCAATTTTAAAAAAACTCAAAATAACAAAAATTGATAAATATATTTCATTGTTCACAGGTCGAGATAATGCATGAAAATGTTTGTTTGTAAAGAATAATTTGTGTTTATTTGCTGATTACTGCAGGGCTTATTGAACGCTCGTTTGATATGATAATACGTCGCTCTAAAATACGTCATAAACAAAGTGATTCGATAGCTTTATTTTATACTGAGGATAAATGAAAAATTCTAGAAATAACATAGAAACCCCTTATTTTCCATTAATTCTGATAAAGTTCCATTACCACGAATGCACAAATCTTATCATAATAAATGGAATCGTTACGATTTGAATTAAACTTAACTAATAAGCGAGCAAAATCTATAATATCGGTTTAAATTTGACATAACAAGAAGCAACGAATTAAAATTATTTAAATCCTCAAAACTTTCCGGAAAACTAATGAACTGAAATTTTTTCATTCATAGATTCGTCCGAATATTTTATTAAGACTGTTTATTGGAATATAAATCCAGCGATTTGGCATATTTCATTCCATTTCGTTCAAACATGAAAATTACAATTATTCATGCTAAAGCAAGAAAATTAAAGGAAATTTGTAAATATATAATTTTGAAGAAATTGTTGTAGAATGACCAAGGAGCCTATAAATTTTGGCGAATCATCCGCAATTGCGTCTGCAATATAATTTTATCCTCCTAGCAAAAGCGATAAAAATTTGAGAATGAAAATTACAAATATTCACCGAAATGAAAGGAGGCACCTAGTTATAGATAGAAACAGCATTTTTCATCTTGAGTGGAAGGTAAAGAAAGGAAGAAACTTTCTCCTCCCTCTATCCCAAATCCTATATAAATTAGCTATCACTTTTGAACATTTGAGATTTGTGGTAGGGAGGGGAGGGCGGGTGGGACTGGATTGAGAGAAAGGAAAGAAAAAGGGAAATAAAGAAGTGGGCAAGAAAGACGTTGGCGAGGGATATTTTCGCATTCTCGCATTCGTGTATACCGTTCGTCGTTTGCATGATCACCATGCACTATCCTGCCGGTTTCTTACTATTCGAGTATACTTGTCGCAACAAATTATATTTATGGGCCTATTGATAATATTTAGGTAGATAATGTTTTGTATATGTAATTTCTATATATAATTTCCTCTCGTTCTATTAATAAATTCGCAAGAAAGATTTTTTTATTTTTTATTTAAAATATTTAAAGAAGGAAGGCAATGCTGCAGTATTCGAAGAGTTGAAAGCTACCTTTCTTTGCCTTTATCTTTTTCACGAATTTCGATGCACTATTTATCTTTTAACAATAAAACGTATTATCAACCAAGATTAAAAGAATTTATATCAACATTTATTTATTTATTTAATTATATTTCGAAATTATTTATAGAGGAAATATAAATTCGCAGGTAGTTTTTTCCAGCAATTCGCCTGGATGAAGAACTGACCGCTGAATTGAAACATACGCATAAGCTTTACAATTTCAGTACAATCTAACTGTACTAGTGTTGAGACAAGTTATAAAATTTATATGGCCTTTTTTAAATATACCTCATCCTAAAAAGACCAAACCGAGGACTCATCATAAGGACTTCGATCATCAAATAAAAGATATGAAAAGCAAACATTTTAGGTGAGTGAAGCCAATTCGGGTATGGTAAACGCTTTTAATATGAAGAAAATTGTCAAAGATCTGGTGAAATGGTTTTACTCGGTGCACCCATGCAAAATTTGAGTTTCTTTCTGTTAAACCAAAAACAAATTTTCAATTCAATGAGCTATACAAAATTCAATATTAATAGAATATCACATGGATTTTAATAGAAATGAATTTTCGAAAACTCTGCGCTGTTTTATCGATTGTATTAAAATATATAAAATCAGCGAAAATCAAAAAATTATCATATCAATTTTTTTTGCGTTCAAATTATGCTGCTTGGCTCAATTATTTTGGTAAGTAAGTTATGTTTTTTTGGGACTAACAGCAAAAATTGCAACGAGTAGTTTTTTTCTGATTTATAAGACTAATTGTTGAGGAAACGCACAATCTTCTAATATTCCGAGTGGCATTAGCGATCATCTTTAACACTATCATTAAGTGAACTGCTTGTGAAATGGTCTCACTCGGTGCATCGAACCCAGTTCTTCGCTCATGAAATGAATAACTATGAGATAACGGAGTAAAAGAGTTAAATTTATAATATATAGATAACCGTGCAATGTACCAGTGTTCTGAACGCAAATTTTTTTGAACTTGGCCAAATTTTCGAAGATTTTGGATGTTTATCGACTAACATCATGTGCGGCAGGAATATGATATTTCGCACCATTCAGCAAGAAGCCACATCCCATTCACTGGCGCATGCAAAATGCTTGCAACGTTGTTCATGTCTTAATACAACACACTCAGAAATTAATGGGCAATGTATCGAAGCATTGGCCGATAATTATGACGAAAACGAAAATGGAAATTTGCAAGTAGTTTTTTCTGAAAATATTTCGAGGAAATTTCTAACTTTAAAATTTCTAAAATTTCTAACTAACTTCAACCGATACACTATTTCCATTGTTTGCTATTTCGTTGCCTGGGTCGATTAAAGTCGGCACGGAATTAAAGTGCAGCTAAATTGAGAAAAGTTTTTGAATTTTTGAGTTTTTCTGCCTTTGGCAATCATAATTTCATCGAAAGTTAAACTCCGCACACGCATTATTTTGGTTTTATTATATAGAAATATATTTCACTCCAACCAAAATTGCTTCCTAATTTTTCTAAGATTTCTGAAATTCCTATTGCATAATATAAGATCCGTATGACTGCACCTTCTGTATTGGCCTTTTAGTGAACAGTCGCCTAAACGGCTTAAGGAATTAATGAGGAGTTGGCCAATACGGAAATACTGGAAAATGTTCGAAAAGGGTGAGTGGAAGTGGAAAGTGGAGATTTTAAACTGTTGAAGCAAATCTATAAAGTTTAATCCTATGATAAATGTCTCATAAAGCTAGAATTACTTGAAATTAATGTAAGGGTGAGTGATTTGCTTGTTATTCGATTGTTAATCACCACGGTCTTTTCTGCATCAAGGGAATGAAAAAGAAATCCGGGTAGTACTGACAACTGATCCATGCCACCACGTGACCCTTGCGAAATATTCCTAGCACCATGATCATTGGCAATAATATTTCTAAATGAAATACTGCTGTTTTTAGTATTGCAAAAATTTATTGCAAAAATTTTTATATACAAAATATTTATTCGAACCATTCCGTAAAGAAAGTTAGAATTAGGATCAGGAATAGTGATTTAATCAACGGAAAAATTCCGGCAATAAATAATGAATGGGAGTGATCAATCGTTAACTGATTTACAACAACTGATCGACCTATAATAATATAATTATACTCAATCTTCAGTTTTTTCTCATTTAAGGAACAATCTTATAAGCTGAACAAATTCATAATTGACTTCGAATGTCGCTTGGTCGGTAGTGGTTGTGGAAAAAATATGGTGCTCGAAATAGTATCAAAGGTTAATGGATATTGCATCGACAAATGTGTTTGTGCGGATAATTTTGTGGAAAATGATGTAGAATGCATCCAATGTGATTGGGAGGAGGATGATAATGATAATAATGATAATTATAATTCAACGGTTAGCTTATCTTTCCTCATTTTGAACTAGTTTCCTAAGAACTAGTTTCCTAATAGGCTTTTGGACTAATTTGCTCTTGCCAGGAGTAAGATTCCAGCAGGAGTTTGCTGATTTGAGCAACCTTTGGTTTTTTTCCATCTAACCCTACGACAATTAGAGCGACGGCAGATTCGAACCCAAACCTCAGTTCTTGGTGGCAGTTATCCAGTTATTAAGCCATCGGTACACCAGCAGTTTAGCTTTGATGAGATAAAACTGATAGAACTGATAGAACTGATTTTTATTGACAATGAGGCATGTTGCATTGTCCGCAATACGATTAGAAATTTTTGAATGGATTTACTGCTGGATTACAGATAACGCAGGTTTCCTGGATTCTCAATACAGTGCAGTGCTTACCCATATTAGGAGCAGCTACTCCTTAGTACTCGGGATAACAATCTGCAACGACACGATTAACCACTTTTCCAAAAACATAAAAACTTTTTACTGCATAAAATATCATTAATAGATTATCTTGTTTTAAAAACACTGCCAATAGCAGTTACTTACCTTCATCGTTTCTTGGTGACCTTAGCGTGAAAAATTGGAAATGCTGAGAAATCCATTCATGTTGTTGCCAAATACATTATTTCAGTTGCCAATGGAGCTGGTCTTATTGAAAATGCTATCCTTTAGATGAATTTCATTGGTAAAAGATTGGGAAATAGTTTTTGCTGAAGAATGTGTGATATAAACGATTTGCCTGCCTATCTATACTTATAGTCATACAATGAAATGCTGAAGGCGCAAAATTTATCAGTTTTCTCAATTTTAATTCAATAAAAAGGAAATTGTTTAGACCAAATTGTTTAGACCACTTCTTATCACTCCGCAGACCTATAGATTGGGCGAAAGGATTTATGATAGGCGATGTGTTATAACCGGTCGGAGTTGTGGCATCAATATGGTCTTTGAAACCACCAGCCACCCGAAATATGCATTTTGCATTCAAAAATGCGTATGCACGAGTAATTCAGAGGAAAAAGATGGAGAATGCGTCATTAAACACAAGTCAAAATGTATTAAAAATCAAAGAAAGGTCTAATTTTAGTTCTAATTAAAGAAATCTATCCTTAAAGTATCTCACTTAAGTACTTAGAAGAGTTAGCGGAACCTGAAATTACGTGAAAAGAAAATGAAAGAAATGGGAATGAGCCTATTATTAAATTTTTAAATACATCGCTTTTAGAGCAAAGAGGTAGAAATGAGTTGTTTCCGTACTGGAACGTGTAACCTAAACGAAATATTCTACGAAATAGAATGCATACAATTAGGACATTCCTGTGGACCAAATATGGAACTAATTATTATTGACAAAAGGCTTTTCAACACGAACAAATGTGTTATGCAATGCCAGTGTGTGCATGGATATATCGAATCAAACGGTCGATGCACTGAAATAACCAAAAAATTGGTGCATTCAAAAAAATATTTTTTATTCTTTCAAAATATCAAATATAACTACAAAAATATTTTTAAATTTGGCCTAATTATTTGGCCAATTTTACAATATAAAATTGAAATTTAAGGAAAAAAATTGTTCTCAAATATTATTCAGTGAAAATTTTAAGACATAAAGAAAATTAATTTATTTAGAACGAAAGAATTGTTTGCATGCGAGGAGGATGCACTCTTAATGAATTAGTTCAAGACATAAGTTGTTCATTGAAAGGTCGCTTCTGTGGACAGAATATGAAGTTTGGTCTAATAAAGCAATCAGCTCACCGTCATTATAATTGTATTGTGAAGTGCAAATGTGCAAAGGGCTACGAGGAGCAAAATGGCCAATGCATTATAGAACATGGAAAAACGATCAGAACAAAGAATATTGTGAATTTTCAAGACTAAGACCTCATTTTCATTCTAAACCATTATAATGAATAACTCGATCCTGTAAGAAAAATAATAGAATTAATTGATTTAAGTGTATGGAAAACGGTTGTGAAGTGGGGAGGATAATTCGTGATGAAGGATGCCATTTAACGGGAGAGAAATGTGGAAACAATATGATATTCATGGTGGTCAATAGTACAGTTCGTAATGGAACATATTCGATTTATTGTACCCAGCAATGTGCTTGCATATATTCTGATTCCATTGAAAATACTTCGAGTTGTAAAGAGAAAGGTACCACTGGCTATTCACCGACTCTGCACAACGCGATTACCACTGCACTTAACGATTTTAAAGTATTTTTTAAGTCCCTTTTTTTGCTTTAATTAGTACCATTAATCTCCTTTGCTACGTTTTTATTTGCGTTCCTTCTTTGCACATAATTTCAACCAATTTTACCTAACAATACTATAGGAGTTTTATTTAAGGATAATTTTAAAAGTTGCAGGCGCATATAAAGAAAGAATTTAATCTTGGCGAAGAAATTTCTGATCTTGGTTGTCGTTTAAGAAATTTTAAATGTGGAATCAATAAGAAATTCATTGTTGTTAAAGAATTTTCCGCCGAGCACGATCCAAATATTAAAGGATGTATCGAACGGTGTAGTTGTATTTTGCCGCGACCTGATGGTTGTATGCAAAATTTCTAACGTGTTATGTTTATATTTTAATTTAATCACCATAGTTTCTTTAATTTTTTAAATAGTTTCTATTTTCTTTTTTTTTTTAAGAGTCCTCACCATTACTGGTTAAACTCGCTCCACTGACTTGTCGCATTGCGCAATATGCCAGGGAGTCCCTTGGTGATAGAAATACGGGTGGGTTGCCAGCATCACCGGATTTTTGTACAGGTTTACTCCTGCGGAGAACCGAACCTCAGCATCGGCGCTCCAAACTGAGCAACAACCCACTGAGCAGTTCTATCCCCTAATTTAATTTATTTATATTTCTATTTTCTATAATAAGAAGCATAATTTTTGCCTTGGCCAATTTTATCGAATATGGTGACAATAGCAAATAAATAAATATACCAGCCGTTTTTATGAATCCAAATTCACTTAATATATAGAAATTTTACAGAGATCAGAAAAAATGTGAAAATATTGATATAATATTTGATGAAAGTTCTGCCATAACGATATCAGTACGCCGAATGCATCTACTGATATGTATTAAATAAATCAAAATTCCAGTGTTTTTTGTTAAAATATCAGCAGTATTAGCCTTGTAGCCGTTGGAGCCAGCTTAACCAGTAATGGTGAAAGCTGTCTGTTAGAAGAAGAAGAAGAAATATTGGCATGTGCGTGTTTTCGAAGAAAGAACCCCAAGAATTACATTATTGGTACCAATTAACATCGCACCATACTCCACAGTACCCCTTTAGAATAAATCAAATACTAATCTCAAATAAAATAATCTCTTTATCTAATCAAACGTTCGTGCTCATTCCACACTACGCAATCATAAAATTTTTCCGAAATGAAAATTATTTTCTGTTTAATTTTTCAAAATTGTACTGGCTACGTGGGAATTCGCGTTGGTGATCGAAACACTCCAGGAGAAACTTCCTTTAAAGCTACTATGACTAATCATTTAATTTTTTAAACGCTACCAAAGCAAATTCTTTCGACAATCCATTTCTTCGTGAAATGCCAGAATCTTTACAGTTTTCATTTGAAATAAATAGAGCAGTTACTTTGCATTTGGATTGTATGATTTATGACCGAGAGTGCATGTCTGGGAAAAGTATGAACGATTGTCACTCAGTCTCTATATTCGTAAAAGTGATCCTGATAATCCTGATGTAGTTACAATCAAGATTATATGCACAAAAAAGCTATATTAACCTACTAAAAAATATTATAAAAATTTTAAAATAAATAATAAATATTATATATATATTTTTTAAGCTGGTTATAGCTGGCAATTATTTGATATACTATAAAAATTTATAGATTTGTAAATTAAATACCATAAATACTGGCTGGCTTCATCGAGTGGAGAATACTTCACTAGCGATTCACTTAAATGCGGTCTCTCCGTTTATACAACTCCTATAGAATATTAGAGAATTTATTATATTAGAGAAATTAGAAAATATTGTAATTTTCTTATAGATGAAAAAATAAAAATATAACTAAAGTTATCCTTGTAAAATGATTGATTCATACAGCATATTTTGAATAATATGATAAATGAAATATACTTTTTTGATTCTTATTTTCTCTGATTTGAATATCATTAATTTTTAATATAATCGATATATTTTATATTTAATATTTTAATATAAATTAGTGATTATTTCTATTAAAATCAATCTAAAGGTTTGTAATATTTTATGAAAAATTATTACAGCGCATATTAACTGATTAAAATTTTCTTAACAAATATTGAAATGATTAATGAATGATTAACCTAAAAAGAGCACATTTTTTCAAGTAAGCAAAATTATATTGGCCCAATAACAGTTTTGGTTTAATTAGATCAGACTAGATCACTCTCGCAATTTGTGGGCCTTGAATATGATGAAAGAGAGCAATTAATTAATGACCGCTAAAAAATAAAAAGAAGCAGTTGATTCAATTCCTTAGCCATGTGAAATATATGCTAAATAGAAAAGTAGCCATAAAAATTAAATTGTTTATCGCCACAGCTGTTAGAAAGTAATTCAGTCTCTGGCCTTTGGCTTTAAGTCTTTTAAATGTATGTATTCGCATCTCAAACGAATCCTTTGCAAAACGGATGCTCAATGGTGATTTATCCAGAAACATCCTCTTAGAAGTAATATTATTGTTAATATTTAAGAATATATAATCACTGGAATAAAATGTCAAATATAGCAGGATAGAGCTGAGTTTTCTGTATCTGACGGTATATATGATAGCGTTTTATTTGTATATAAAGGTTTTCATAGGATATTGCCAAATGATTGCCAGCTGCAATCTGCTTTAAAAAAAGAATAATATTTTTTAGTAGGTTAATATAGTTTCTTTGTGTATACAATCTTGATTGTATTTGTGTACAACGTCAAGATCACTTTTACGAATATAGAGACAACCAAGTGACAATCCTTCACACTTTTTCTAAATATCATTCACTCTCATATACATCAGACATAAATTTATACAATCCATATGCAAAGTAATTCTAATAACTCTATTTATTTCAAAGGAAAACCATAAAAATTCTGGTATTTCAGCAGGTAAGAAACTCACATTGGCTATTGCCGACTTCGATGGTGTTTGAAAAATTGGATGATTAGTTTATGGTTAACTTCAAAAAAACTCTGCAGCATCTTGATCATTAACCTATATGTTCCCGTAAAGCGAGTAAAATTTTGAAAGAATAAACGGAAAGTAATTTTCATATGTTCTTCTGTGATGGCATAGTGTGAAACATACATTGCGTATGAATGGTTTGAGGATGGAGGTGTCGAGAATTTTCTCGAAACTATGAATCATTGTTTATAAAAATCAAAAGGTCACCTTTTTTCTTCTTTTGAACATTGTGTGGGAGTGGGTTTTTTTTTCTTCTTTTCTTTGCAATATAAACAGTTTTTTTTTAATTCACGTTTTACCTAAACTATTGTCCCTATATTCAATAAAATAAAAAATTATTATATTGTTGTGGTGTAACAGCCTTACAAAGCCCGTTCAGTCTAAACGAAAAAGTCGCAACATATTTGTGCCACGAGCCGGGAATGTGAGCTATAATAGTTAAAGCTGTTCAACCGGTGAAAGAAAAGGTGTTAAGCCTTCTGGAAGAAATGAAAAAAATGGATTTGGAGAAAATGGATCCAATGATGACTCCAGAAGAAATCCAAGAGCAACACGAAACAAGAAAACGAATTATCAACGAGAAAATGATGCGCCTCGAATCATATCTGGAATCTCTCGAAACGACCAATAAAGAGTGGAAGCAGTATATTCAACAAATTTCCTCACCGCAAAAAAGGAGAGAGGAAGAAGAAAAATACGCACAAATGGTGGACGATGAAACAGGTATTTTAAGATTAGTGATAGTAAAGATGTAATAATCACTCTTAAAATGTATTGAAAAGGATTCAGAGTTAATACTCCAACGCTTAGAAAAAAGCACTGAAAAAGGAGTACTGACTTGACAGAACGAAACGATACCATCAGCAAATCACACAACAGTGAATTTGCCCCAGTTACCGTTACCAATATTTGACGGTAACCCAAAGTTATGGAGAGGATTTTGGAGTAGCTTTGATGCTCCAAACACCTCCAAAACATCCCAGATATCCAAAAATTAATTATCTTATTGCTTGTTTGAAAGGTGATGCCTTACAAGCTACAAGGGGATATGATATAACCCCAGAAAATTACAATGTTATCAGAACGGTCCTTGTCGAAAAATTTGGTCAATCATATACAATCAAGAGGTCACTCTATAATGAACTGTACTCGACCAAAAAGAATGATCGGGAATGGAGAGTGACAATTGAAAGTATCGAAAGAATACTGCGACAGCTGGAAGCCATGGGCGAGAACCTGGAGCAGTCAAGTATTGAAATAATAGTTGAAAGCAAACTGCCAGCATGGATTCTTGAAAGGATTTATCAACAAAAAAAACAGGAATCATGGTCAGTAAATAAGCTGAGACAATTTTTCGGGAAACTAGTGCTCAGAAGTGAAGAAGTAATGAGGATCCAATCCCTGACAAAAAAATCAAGAACCAGTAAAGAGTAAGTCAAAACCATTTTCACGATTTATCCCTAATGAAACCTCAGCATTATCGGTGTCAATTCCCAAATCAAAGGCGAAAGGGATTAAAACAAAAAGACCCTGCACATTTTGTAATAAAGATCAGTGTCAGGTTTACTCAACAAAGGACGAAACGTTTGAAGGAATTAAAGGCCCGTTTGAACTGTTTTGATAATAGTCACAAGACGACGGATTGTAAAAGCAGAAAACGTTTTCCTGTTTTTACTGCAAAGGCCCTCACAACACAGCACTATGCGAAGAGAAGTATCAAGGGCATGACGAATCAAATAAAGAAGAAGCCAAGTCCGTGAACGTCAATATTACAAACAAAAACCAAACGGATCAAAGGGAAAAAGAAGTTTTACTTCTATGCAGAAAAGTCAATGTTATCAATCCAGTTAATCAGGAGATTCAAAGCGAAGCTATAGTACTCTTCGATACTGGTGCGCAAACATCGTTTGTCTCAAAAAAATTAGCGCAAAAATTGAAATTAGAGGTTGGTGAAAGTGGAGTCATGAGGAATTGCCTCATTCAGCAACAAATACTTAACTTCGTCTCCGTACTATACAACGGTTATTGGAGTAAAAACCACTGACTCCCAGACCATATTCCTCAAAGTGAAGGTGATAGAATATTTAACCAACTCACTGTCGGTAATTCCATTAGACCAACTGGACATACCAAGTATCTCGAGTCAAATTCAATTAGACAGAAGTTTAAGATGCGTAGAACGCCCCGATATACTCATCGGAGCTGACTACTTCTCTCAGTTCATCCCATTTAAACAATGCCAAGTTATAAGATCAGGATTTTCCTTGATAAATACTAAGGTTGGTCCGATATTA